GAGAAGAAACTGCAAAGGTCCTGAGCCAGGAGAGTGCTGGTGGTTGGAGGGGTGTGAAAGAAGCCCAGTGCAGTTCAAGGGTAGAGAGTGATGGAGAGGGTTAACCCAGAACATGCCCTTTGGAAATACTTAACCTGAAATACTTTTACCTAAGCCATTGTTAGGATCTGAGTTCTTGGTGTCTGAGCACAACTGAATGTGAATAAAAGGCTGTTTGGATTTCCTGCTGTGGACAGCAGGATGCTATTCACAAAGAAGTCTATGTCCTGACCCTCCAGACCTGCTGCTACATTAGGTTAAATGGCAAAGGAATCAAGGTTGCTCACCAACTGATGTTAAAATCAGGGAAGTATCCTGGATTATCCAAATGGGCCCAGGGATTCTTGTAATGTGGAAGAGGGAGACTTGAAGATGCTAGCCTGCTGGCTTTACAGATGAAAGAAGGAACCATGAGTGAGGGAAAATTTTCCTGTTGGGCTCTAGGCTTAGTACCTGAGTGACGAAGTAATCTGTACAACAAACCCCTGTGACATGAATTTTCCTATATAACCTGCATGTGTACCCCCGAACAACAACAACAAAAAGGCTGGAAAGGGCAGGGAAACAGAACCCTCAGGAAAGAATGCAGCCCATTGAGACCTGGGTTGGCCCTTGGCCTTAAGGAATTGTGAGATAAGATGAAGGCTATTATAATAACTGTGTTTTAAGCTACTAAGTTTGCGGCCATTTGTTACAGCAGCAATAGAAAACATTCTGCCTACCCAACTCAAAGTCTCATTGCATAGGTGGGTGTTACCACCAAGTCACTTGGCAGTGACGACCTCTGGTGCTTGCATTGCCGCTCACAGAGCAGTGGAGAGTGGCTCTTACTAATCACACCTCCAGGTAAATATTGCTCAGTAAATACTTATTGAGGGCCTGTCACATGCCAGACCCTGCTCTCCAAGCTTGGGATAACTTCTGGGTGAAAACAGTAAGATGTGTGCCCTCACCAAGTTTCATTCTAGATGAGAATGAAACTCTGCCCCATGCAGAAGGGCCAGCAAGACTGTGAATTTCACATCCAGACACCAATCCTGACTGTGGCTGCTGCTAAACAGTTGTGAATAGCAGTGACTTTTCCCTGAAAAAGAAGTCCCTTAACTACTTGTAGGAAAACATATACTGACATAGTTTCCTTCCAGGTCATTTTGAAATGATTCTTTGGGACTGATAAAATGGGACAAACTGAATACAATATTTGCTGAAGCATAGCTCATTACTGCTGGATAGAACTTGTTGTGAGTAGAGTTCTCAGATGTCTTTTTAGATCTCCAAGTCAGTCACCAAAATAAGGAAAATAGTTTTTTCATAAAGTACACACACACCAACATACATACAGGCTAGAAAGCCTGATATGAGGTGTTAGTCTGGTAGATTGATTTCTTGCTCAAAGGGAGAAGAGTTTATAGAGGCAGAGGCACAGGTTTTAGATAAACGCACAAACAAGCTTTAACACCTCCTCTGCTTTTTTTTTTACCAAGTGGGGAAGGCAGGGAAGGGGGACCCTTAACTAAAGAGAGGAGAGTAAACACTGAGCAGTCAAGGCAGCCTACCAGGTTTGCTGAGGGCAGCCAGGAAGTGGTAGAGGCTGTGGACATTCCCGTTAATCACTGGCCCTTAGAGAGCAGGCACTTCCCCCTGTAGCCAGAGGAGGGACAGTACTTCTGTCAGTGGATACCTGCAGGGTCAAGCTGCGGGAAAGGAGAAGGACTCCTATAAGGCCAGTGAGTTTTGACCAGATGAGCTTACCCTCAGGTATCCTGATCATGTGGAGACTGGTCATATGGCTTCCCAGACCAAAATAACTCACCTGTGCCTGTGAAACCATACCAGGACCAGATGCAGCCACACTGTTGAGATTTGAAGTGTGGCGCTATTGAATTCAAGCTGCTGCATCAGTCAGGTTTCTTTGCCAGCTTTCGATCTGAGGCTAGGGTGACCATATCATTCATCTTCCAAACTAGGACACTTTTAGTGAAAGGGAGTGGAGTGAACGTTCAGTTTTGAGACAACAGGTATGACCCAGGACTCTCCTGGGGAAACCTGGACATATGACCAGCCTAGCTAAGGCCAGAAGCGTTAACCATTCCATAGGATGGTCTGATGACCCAAAATGGCTCAGTACAACATAGCCTGTGTGTGGGAGGGCCTCAACACCCCTAGGAAGACAGGGATTGTCCCAGGTGCCCTTGCTAGCATACATACCCATGGCATAGACAGCTCTCTGAGGTAGGGGTCTAGAATAGGTGTTTTCTTTATAATCTAAATACAAAGCAAGATTTTTTACCCCAAAATTACTCCCGTTGTATTGGAACATTACAAAATTGTTCTCTTATGAGAGCTGCCCTTCTGACTACTTTATTTTGGAATGACACGGTCATCTGTTCTAAACACCTCAGCTTAATCTAAAAGGACCTCAATCCATTTTAATTGTGGATGCTGATAGAGGTTAACTTTGGTTTCAAATAAAAAATAAATAATTTAAAGAAGGAGGCAGGCTGCTGTGGTGGCTCACACCTATAATCCCAGCACTTTGGGAGTCAAGTTGAGGTGGGCAGATCACTTGAAGTCACGAGTTCGAGACCAGCCTGGCCAACATGGTGAAACCCCATTTCTACTAAAAATACAAAAATTAGCCAGGCATGGTGGCAGGTACCTGTAATCCCAGTTACTCAGGAGGCTGAAGCAGGAGAATCAATTGAACCTGGGAGGTGGAGGTTGCAGTGAGCCGAGATCGTACCACTGCACTTCAGCCTGAGTGACCCCAAAAAAAAGAGGCAAAGAAATTTAGCTCATTCAGTACTCATTCCTCAGGATTTAACATCGTAATTGCAGGTACTGGATGTTACAAACTTTAAAACATCTTGGAAATGTTCTGGAAACTCCGTTAGGCATTGCTCTCTGATGAAGTAATGTCAAAGAAACAGAGTTTGATTAAAATTGCTTGATGAAATACAAATAAAATTATTTTTAAATGAATGTTAAGTATGTGTGACTTTAAATGTTTGCATAAATTTAAATGATCAAATGTCAGTTGACTTTCATCTGCATTCATAAAGCTTAAATATACATGTTAGCCAAAAAAAAAAGTTTGGAATGTTTTTACCCGATATATTCACTTATTTAGGCATACACAGTATTTGAGGAGTGGTAGCCATGATAAGAGAGACGTTGTGGTAACAGCTGGGGAAAGGCATTCCTGTTCATACTGGGAGAAACTAGGCTGGGTTGAAAATCGAATGCCTGCAAGAAATGATTGTGTTTTGACTTGTGGTTCCAGATGACAAACTAGGTATATGGGTTTGCTTCCTGGCTCCTCAAGGCTCCCTAATATTTCAGAGAATATGAAGAAGCAGAAAGCAGATGGGATCTGGGCTTATGACCTTAGCAGGGGAAGGAGCTGAGTCTAGAGTTCATCATGTGCCCCTCCCCTACCCCCAACCAAGAGTGATCAAGCAAAGCAGGGACTAGGAGAGAGGAGTGGGTCTGGAGGTAAAGGACCATACAGGGGACCACGGAGACCAGGTGGTTCTTACCTCTGTCTGGAGTAGGGGCTGCTGGCACTTAACACCCTGGCTGTGGGAAAATACCAAACCCATAGCACTTTTTAGCACTTTTTGGGGGTGGGGAGATAGGAGAATGTTGACATGTACATGTTTTACAAAGCTTAAAGTGCTTACAGTGCACAAAAATAAAGAATGAATTCTTTTTTTTTTTTTTTTTTAAAGGCAGTCTGTCACTCAGGCTGGAGTGCAGTAGTGCAATCTCGGCTCCTGAAACCTCCATCTCCAGGGTGCAAGCAATTTTCATGTCTCAGCCTCCCGAATAGCTGGGATTACAGGCGTGAGCCACCGTACTCGGCCAAGAATGAATTCTTTATAGAAGTAGATAAGGCCAAGTCATGACACTAAAAATAACCCCCAAAACTAGGGCTTCTAGTGTGAATGCTGGGACTCCAAGAATTCAGCTGTCCTCATTCTGGCATTTGAAGAGTGGTGTGCAGTCTGACAGCTTAACTGGCTACCCACACAGCCTAAAGCGAATCCCTGGAGTCAGCAGCCCCACCCAGGACTCCCTTTCAGAATTCCTGCTCAGGGTGAGATTGAGCCAGAAATGGACCTTTTTATACAACATGAGAACAAAAGAGAACAGGGATTATCAGGCATGTGATGAGAGCTAGCAGCATAAAAGGCAGTGGTCGAAGTAAACCAACAGAAAAACTACAAGAAACAGATAATCCAGGAACACAAAGAACTGTAGGAAAACTTCTAGGCAAAATGCTTAGAATTTTCAGAACATGTTAAACCCACAGAATAAGATTAGGATCTGTTATGTAAAAGGCACAATGAGAACAAAGAGCTCTTGAAGACTGCAAATGTGACTGCTGAAATTAAAAATTTTGGTATGAATACCAGAAAATACAGTTGAAAAATCTCAGAACCACAGAGAAGGAGGGAAAATGAGAGGGTAGATTAACCCAGGAAGTTCATCACCTGACTAGTTAACAGAGGTTCCAGAAAGAGGACAGAAAACATAAGGAATGAAACAATCCACACACAATAAAGTTTATAGGAAATTCATGTCCTAGGTCTGCGGAGTGAAAGAGGTCACACATAGGCTCACCATCATGCTGTTCAGAATGCCTTGGGTGAAGTAGAGAACGTAAAAGTCACCCTCTGGAGCACGGTGGTTCACGCACTTTGGGAGGCTGAGGTAGGCAGATCCCTTGAGGCCAGGAATTCAAGACCAGCCTGGTCAACATGGCAAAACCCCATCTCTAATAAAAGTACAAAAATCACCCGGGCGTGATGGTGCATGCCTGTAGTCCCAGCTATTGGGGTGGCTGAGGCATGAGAAGCACTTGAACCCGGGAGGTGGAGGTTGCAGCGAGCCGAGATCATGCCACTGCACTCCAGCCTGGGTGACAGAGGGAGACTCTGTCTCAAAAAAAAAAAAAAAAAAAAAAAGTTATCCTTTTGAGATTCAGATTAACACCAGAATTTCCACTGGCAAAACTGGATACTAGAATTAATTACAGCAGTGCTATCAAGTTTCTGAAGAAAATGTTTTTCAACCTGGAGTTCTACACCCAAACTATCATTCAAGAGTGAGAGCAGCATAAAGACATTTTTGTATATGCAGTCACTCAGTTTACCTTGTCATATGCTGTTAGGACAATATTTAAGAAAGTAATTCAAATAAAGGGGAACATCAGGTCCCAGATCAAATCCAGTCACCCCAGGATAGCCACGAAGGACTGTTCCAGCATGATCCTGTGTAGCAGACCCGGCAGAGAATCAGGTCTACGTTGCAGCAGAAGGGTGCAGGGGCTCTGAGAAGGGAGTGTGAGCCAAGATGAGATCCTGATTTAATGCGGGTATGGCTTGGGAGCTCAGAGAAGATTGAGGCTTGGATAAAGGTGAACGATATAAGAAAAAAGAAAGGCAATGAGAAAAGCCAAGGAAAGCAAGAGTCATGGTCCAAATGTGAAGTACATAAAGCAATTGATAGAACGTAAGAATAGCAAGTCTGTTTGACCTTAATGCTAAGAACAGTTTCCTTTGAGGCCAAGGGCTTCTGATACTGCTCCCAGACAGAAAAGGGAAAATCTAAATACAGTTTGGTTCAGCACTGAATAATAATAATTTGGCTATGTAAAAGAATAGATGACTGAATTGTGGCTAAAAGACAAAATGTGAGTGGTAATAGGTCCTGTAAGTGTAAAGGTATAGCTGGTAGATGGCAAGACATGGAGAAACTAACAGGAAAGTTTGGAAGGAAGAATCCAAGTGCTGATAGCTTTGTCTCAATAACTAGGGAATCAAGATTTTTGTCAAAAGTTGAAGGGAAAATAGAGGTTTAAATCTTCAAAACTCAGAGTAGCAAATAGAGGAACTAAATCTAGTTATTAAACATAGGATGGGAAGTGGCAAGCAGTTTGTTCTTTCCTTTTCATATTATGGGGCCAATAGTAATTGCCTAAAGCTGATAAATCAATACATATATAATAATCCAGAATTATGGAGAAGTAAATCCCAGAATGAAAAGAGGTTTATCCAGAGTGTGGGGCTTAGGATGAGTTTGGAATCTGTTGCTTTCTACCATTAAGTCCTTTATTTTTGATTTTCTATCATTTGTACTTATTACTCTAGCAAAAATTAAATCCTGAGTTTGAAAATGGGTTAAATGTAGAGGTGACACAATTGCCACAGTATTTCTACTTTCTAACTTTTTAGGTCTTAATTTGGACAAACTAAGAAGGCTGTGTTTTAAATTAAGCAATAATAGTGTTCTTGTTCTAATGGTGCAATATTTCATGTTTCCTCTGACCAGCTTGCATAGCTAGGGGCAGAATCTTTAATCCTTGAGGAAATGAATTACTGCCAAAGACAGTGAAGCAAAGCTGCCATTGTTCTTGGAGTTTTAAAAGTGTCCCAGTGTTTAGAACTTTTGAAGTATTTTTGCAAAAGTATACCAGCTCTCTTTGGGGGAGAACTTGAATATATGAAACAGGGGTGTGGCTTACTTGAAGAATTTTGAAATAACCTTGTGTTCATAGCATGATAGTGAGTCCGGAGTCTTTGTGCCCAGAGCTCTGATTATACTCCAAAGATCTGAATTTATATCATATCCCCAGTTACTGTTATACTTATATCGTTAGATTTTTACATTCCATTTTAGAATTTCAATGTTTATTTCTTATCTTTAAAGATGATACTGTGGTTTTGAGTTTTGCCTTTTAAGTGTGGGTTTCTGATATGTTGAAATCCCAAGGCAGTTTTTATTTCAGTGCAGCTTTAAAATTCAGTGGAGGTCATTGTCCACTGGCCGGTTGTGAAATGATCTTAGTTCACACCCAGATTCTTGCCCTGTGTTCAGTTTTTCTTGCTTTGACTGGATATGGGAATAGACCTCTTAGGCTCTGCTCTGTTAATCTCCACCACTTGTGGAGAACAAGTAGCAGATAGTGGCTGGGGGAAGCCAACCCACTCTGAGGGACTGGGCATGTGAATGGGACAACATCCACAGCTTTTTCTAAACCTACAAATGCCCTAACTCATATCCCTTGGTCCCTGTCACTCTGAAGGTCGAGTTGTCACATAGCTCTTACTTCCTTCATACGTACTGGGACGGTCAGTAATGAGTGCTGCCGCTGCCCTGGTCCTAGGAGTTGTTGCAAGCATCCTGGTGGTGCCCAGAGAGTACTTGCTTTTCACACTGAACCATCTGGGTGGCCTGGGTCCAGTTTTTGGCGTTTAAGGGCCTTGGAGGGAAAGGGAAGAAAGCTGGAATTTGAGCATAAATTGGATTTTGTGTGGGCTGAGGGTCTTCCTAGGTGTAGACTGTCCCTGCTGGACCTGTACCCACTGTGCTAGCTCAGGAGCCAACTGTGTTCTGAACAGCTTAGACCAGCACCCAGACCCTAAATGACCTAGATTAGGAAGTAGATAGGTTGTTCTCTGCTGTCATTGTTTGGACACAGCTCTATTTACCTTATTTATTGTTCCTGCTCCCCATAGCCTCAGCTAATGGGCTGTGTTCTCCTGCCTTTAAGGCTGGTTCCAGGCAGAATTTAAGAGCCTTTGCTTGTTTCCTGAACCAGGGAGTACAGCTTTACCTTGAAGATGAAGGCACCTCCAGTTGCAGAATGTGGTTGGGGTTACTGTGTTCTCTCATCAAGGTGTAGCTTTACCTTACCTTTCGATGATGGGTTCTGCCACCTTATCGCGGTGGGTCGCAGGAGACCAGGTGCAACCGGAGCAGGGGCGCCCTCTGCTGCTGGGTGTCTGCTCTTCTTCCCACAGCCGCCCAGGGGATTTTTGAGGGGCAGTGGAACACCCCTGCTTCCTCCATCCCCTGCAGGACCACCCCACGTGGAGGAAGGACAGTGCCAGGACCATGTGCAGGCAAAGCCTGCCCAGAAGCAGTGCAGCAGCTAAAGTTATTCTCCGTGGGTACGTTTCTCGTGTTGCTTGCAGGTCTCTTCTCGAATCTGTTGTCCTTTTCCCCCAAACCACCCTGCTGCCCCCATCCTTCCGTGTGGTCTGCTGTCATCTGCAGTAGCCACCGCATGTAAGACACGAAGACCTCTTCTGCAAGAGCTTGGTGTGGGCATTTGTGAAATTTTGTCACCACACCCCCTGTAACCAGCCAACAAATTCGAGTTAAATGCCTGTTCTTTGTCCCACACATATTAGTTACAGAGAGTGGAGAACAAGTAGCAGATAGTGGCTGGGGGAAGCCAACCCACTCTGAGGGACTGGGCATGTGAATGGGACAACATCCACAGCTTTTTTTAAACCACAGGACACCCAAAAGCAGCTGTACCCTGCAGGGCACGGCAGGCTGCAGAAGCCTGGGTCTCAGGGTCTCTGACCCTTCGTCCTTTAGCGCTGCTGACCAGGCTGCCGATCCTCGACCCCTTCTTGTCACCCCATCGTGTGCTTCTCCCTTTCCTCTGGCTCTTTCCCTTGCAGCCTTTGCATGTGCTGTGCTCCTTACCTGGCCACCTCCAGCCCCACTGTCATCTCTTCCTCTCCAGCAGATGCTGGTGCCCACAGCACTCTATTCCGTCCTCTCATTACCTCTAGCTCCCTGTGGTTTCATGACGTCATGACCTGTTCACGGATCAGGCTTCCCCAGGCCAGAGATTGAGGAGTGGGGGCAATTCCTTATTCATCCTAGGAGGCTCTTCATCAGTGTTTGTTGAGTGAATACGTGAACGAATGTGGGCATGGGGTAAACAGGAAATAAGCCCTGTGTCTGCCTTAGGTAGCTTGGGTGTGGGTGAGAAGAGGAAGTGGTTAGAGAAGACACACCGTTAAGACACTGGGACTCCTGTGCTGCTTTTTCTAAGGCTTCTCTTTGCTGGTGGTTACCTTTACAGGAAATCTCTTACCCAGCCTTCACCCAACTGCAATAATGTTTTCCTTCCTTCCCTCTACTTATCTCTATTATCTTAACTTTATCAACATTATCAGCATACAGAACAGTTTTGATTGTGATGTTTTATTTGTGTAAGTTTTGCCCTTTCAACTAGGTTGTAAACTTGAAATCCTGGGTTTTACTTCCTAAGCAGCTTTGTAAAGAAATGGAGACAACATTGCACCAAGGTAATTTTTGTCATGGCCACCCACGGCTGTGAGATCTTGGGGGATGAGTAATGAAGCTCCTCAAGGTCTCTGTTTCTTTATCTGTAAAATTGGAGGACTGGTCTCTCTCAGGGGCTTCCAGTGTGAAAAAGTCCTGGGGTTCTGGGCCTCTGATCCTGGCACCCCACTTATCCCTTCCAGCGCCCACCACATGACTCCACCTCTGACATCTGCCAAGTACAGTAATTGAACACATTCACCTCATAGTCTGGGCCAGTTCACCTCCCAGGTACTTGTTTGTTGGTGTTCCTGGGATCAGGGACATCACTGGAATAGGTGTGGGGCAGACCTGTGGGGACCCTGTGGCCCCAGCCTTGCCTCTGTCCTCTGTCAAGAAGGTTCAGGCACCAAGGACACTGCTCCAGTTCTGTGTGTCAGTTCTGTACCTTGGTGTGTGCTGTTTTGTTCCTTCAAATGTAGGGTGAGTTTGGAGGTGGAGGCTGACTCTGACTGTCCAGGGATCTGGGAGGAAGGACAGTGCTGGGGCTATGTGTTCTCCATGAGCCACCCCTCCTTCTCTGTCCGGGCATCATCTAGCCCCCTTCCCTGCTTTCCTGCTTTCCAGGTACACTTGCCTCCCATGGCACCTGCTGCATGATAATGGTTTAAAAAAAAATGTTGAATCCTTTATTGGAATGATTCCTTTATTGGAACCCAACAGGCATGAAGGTAATAGAGACTATTTGGTTTGTATTTTCACTTGTTTTGCTTTTGCGTCTGAGATTTGTGGGTTTCTTGACGGCCAGGAGTGGCTTGTTTTCTGTTGTAAGAGGTTATTGTTTGTACAGGTTCGTGTTTCCAGTCCTTTCCTCAGCTCCAGCCTTGTTTCCAAAACTCTCAGCTCTTGGTTTATCTCTGTCCAGTCAGGTGTGTGTTCTTTGTCTTTGTTTCTTGTCCTAGTTGTTCCATGAGTCAGCCAGGCCTCAAAGATTGTGTAAACCTGTGATGAGTAAAGCTGTTAGCAAAAGAGACCTAGCAACAAGGTCGTTGGATCTCTAAAGAGCCGTCCAGCTGTGAGATGGTGAAATTTTAAGGACTGTGGATTTGGATTGGGGGCCTCCTTATAGGAGATAAAAACACGCGGTTGGAGAGAAGAAGGAATATTACAGTGCCTAGTACATAAGTGGAGCTACCCCAGTTGTCCCTGAATCCTTTGTGGGAGATTGATAGGATGAGAGAGGACGAACTCTTGTAAGGAAGTAAGAACTGACTTGGAAGAACAAAAATCAACTTGTACACCTCAAATGTATCTGCTTTTTATTTGTCCATTCTACCCTAATAAAACTGGAGGTAAAAAAAGAATTGGAAAGAGGCCAAGGCTGCAAGTGAATAATTCAGTTGAGTTGTGTCTTACTTACTGTTTAGGTTCTCCCAATCAGTGTATAAACTGAAAATCTAAGATACAGTCAGAATTACTCTCAAACTACCTCAGGAAGGCACAGTGTTAGAAACTGACATATTATTGCTTATTACATTTGGTGTGGCCATTTTTTCCTCCCATTGTCACAAGTATTTGGTTTCTTCTCTTGAGTTTCGTATGATATCCCAGGCATCATAGGGGCTTAGAGGTTGTATTCTATGAAGAGGGTGTGTTTTAAACACCAGATCATACCCAGCAGGAAATGCTGATACCATCAGAGACAGGCCTCTTTTCCCCGTTTTGGTATCCCCTCTTTGGCCTCCCTGTGTAGTTGTGTTTGTGCGTTTTACGTGAACCAGCCATAGGAGTCTACGTTTGTTCTCACTCACTGCCTAAGCTGTGGAAGAATTAGTGGACTCCTAGACAAAGAATAATCCCATTATCTCCTAGTTCGGACTGATTTACATGTTAAATGTATATTAAATTCACATCTCCAAATTGTTTCTGTTTCATCAACAGGTTGCTCGTGGGGGCCCCGCGGGCAGAAGCGCTTCCACTGCAGAGAGCCAACAGAACTGGAGGGCTGTACAGCTGCGACATCACCGCCCGGGGGCCATGCACACGCATCGAATTTGATAACGATGGTGCGTTCCTGTCCCTCACTCAGCCTTCACTCCGGGCAGCTTGCCCGTACTTTTTCCCTGAGGGAGGAGAGTGGGGACAAACATTTTATTCTTGTAGAGAGGACCTCTTTCAATTGCATCAACCTTGACTGTTTTTGATTTGCCCTGAAAATACTTACTTTACTTTCTAAATCATACTGGGATGCCGCATGTTTTGCTGTTCCTCCTAACCATGGTTACTAAACCAATATGGTGTAGGGATGTTGCCACCTAGTGATGTGTTGAGATTCTGCAGGGGGTCGTGGAAAAACTGATTTCATAGCAATGAAGAGAATGAATGAGCGTATCTTGTATTCATCAGCCAAAAGTTCTCCCATGCTGTTAAACTATTTGGGAGAAAGACAGTTTTAAATATCAGACCCCTTTGAAATGAGAGCTGGCTAACAGAGATAGTTTTCCCTACTGTCTCGTATAGAGACTTGTTTTGTTAAGGACTCTGGATAGGTAGAAGATACCATGAGGTAGGCATGTTGACATCCAGTGTACCTGGCTTCTTGTAGGTTGAGCAGAGCTATTAGTGTACTGAGAAGCTCTAGCCAAACCTCATTTGATATGCTCGGTCTAAGTAGATTTGCAGATTCGTGTTTATGTTCTTCTCTTGCTTCTTCATCTTTTAGAAATAACATTCGTTGGCCAGGCACGGTGGCTCACACCTGTAATCCTAGCATTTTGGGAGGCCGAGTTGGGTGGATCATTTGAGGTCAGGAGTTCAAGATCAACCTGGCCAACATGGTGAAACCCCGTCTATACTAAAAATACAAAAATTAGCTGGGTGTGGTGGTGCACGCCTGTAGTCCCAGCTACTTAGGAGGCTGAGGCATGAGAATTGCTTGAACCTGGGAGGCAGACGCTGCAGTGAGCCAGAATCGTGCCACTGCACTCCAGCCTGGGTGACAGAGCAAAATACATCTCAAAAAAAAAAAAAAAGAAGAAAAAGAAATAACGTGTTCATTTATTAGAAAATAATATGTGTTAATTTTAAGAAACTGGTAAAATACACCTATGAAGAATAAAAAACAAAATCCACTGACAATCTCAGTATATAGACTTATTTTTTAACATTTTGGCGTTTTTCCCTCTGGCTAAAGTTGTTTAGTTTCATATTTTTGTAATGATTCAAGATTAAAACTTGTATCTGTGTTACTGCTCATCCAGGAGTGCAAAAATTTGGATATAGGTCACACAGTGGGTTTAAATTGATACTGAAATGAGCACATGGTGATGGTTGTGGTCCCCCTCTCTCTGACTAACAATAACTCGCCTGTTTGGCATTGATACATTGTCAGCTACAAGATCCTAAAGTAAATCTGAGTCTTTTTCTCCCATCTCCAGTAAAGAACATTTAATGCTGTTACATAAAAAAATTGGGGAGTATATAGAGAAGTACCCATTTTTTTGTTAGTTTAGATGGTAGCTGGAGTTTTGAATACTAGATTTTACATTGTTGCCTTTAGAGATGTATTTTGGAGGGCTCCCTTAGTCTTACACTTTCACTTACCTTCTGCATTCAGGACCCTGGGTATCAAGAGAGGGCAAAGGGTATTGTTGGACAAAATAGGTGACTATATAGAGTTAAGTATTTTATGTTTCAAATTTTTGAAAGATTTTTACCAAAAACCACTTTTCTGTTTCCTTGAGATGACAAGTAATTTTTCTGGTTTGAGTAACTGAATTTATCGAGTAGCTAGACTCAGAGTCAAGGCCATTTGGAAACAGTTGCTTGTATTTTTGTTCAGTGATGGTTTCTAGCATGTGCAGTCACTTGGAAGGCTAACTGTGCTCCTTTTTACAGCTGACCCCACGTCAGAAAGCAAGGAAGATCAGTGGATGGGGGTCACCGTCCAGAGCCAAGGTCCGGGGGGCAAGGTTGTGGTAAGTGTAGAGACACATGTTCATCCTATACTGTTGGACTGCTGGTTACATGCCAGCACCAGGCTTACAGCAGGGGACAAAGCAGGGAGCATACATTCTAGCGAACTTACTGCTTTAAAGCAGGAATGGATGTTAAGAAGAAATCAGGCTGGGTGTGGTGGCTAACGCCTGTAATCCCAACACTTTGTGAGGCTGAGGCGGGTGGATCACCTGAGGTCAGGGGTTTGAGACCAGCCTGACCAATATGATGAAACCCTATCTCTACTAAAAGTACAAAACTTAGTCGGGCATAGTGGCATGCACCTATAATCCCAGCTACTTGGGAAACTGAAACAGGAGAATTGCTTGAACCTGGGAGGCGGAGGTTGCAAGAGTGAAACTCTGTCTCAAAAAAAAAAAAAAAAAAAAAGAAGTAATCAAAGCCTTATTTCTCCTGTGATTCCTGATATACTTTGAAGCAATCACACAACCTGCTTTTCTTTAGAACTTTCAGATTTGAATAACTTACTAAAGAACCTTTACTATATATTCCTAAAACTCTAGATGGTATTAAAAACAAAACAAAACTAGACATCATTTCTATCGTTGGAATTTTATAGCTTTATAGATATAGTAAAAATATGGGCATGGTCTTGGAAAGTAATAACCAGGTAGTTTTAAACTCTTGTTATTTATTCTGAGTTTTTTCAAATAGAAGGGATAGCAAAGAAAAGAGGGTTCGTTAGGTGGATTGGGCTAGATGGTCATGGCAATGTCTTCCTGGTTGGAATATGATAATCTTTTTGTCTCCTTCAAAATCTGGTTGCTGTAATGAAATTTATACAGAATTTTGAGGAAAAAACTTTAGTGAACATTGAGTTTTGATATTTGAGGAATGACACTTATGGGAAATTGAGTCGATATTATATTTTTAGCCTGTGTTTACATGGAGGGTAGCCATTCATACCCTGTAGAAGTTATAGAGATTATTTCTATCTCTTCTGGTCTTGTAATTCTCTCTGCCTTGTAAAAGTAGGCATATTTTGGGAAATAATCTCAGAGCTCAGGGTGTGAGTTAGGACTGAGTTCAAGGAAATAGTGTGGGGAAAAGGAGATGTCTTTGTTTTAGCTGTATTTGTTTGATCCCTATGAAAACAGGTCCATGATTTCTCTCCTCTAGAACATAATTACCCACTTTCACACTGATGTTCTCAAGTTTAATACAGCCACTAGAAGCCAATTTGAATTAAGAAAATGAAATAAGGTGTTTCCCTTTGTTTATGTGACAGGTAAATTTACAAATGAATTGCCTATGGATACAGATTGTCATTCAATACCTGGATTGGAGCATTATTCTCAGTGAGAATAAGACACATTCTAGTTTCTATATGCCTTGATAATGGTCTTCTTAGTGCCACTTTGGGGAATATTTGCTGGTCTGGGATCCAGTCCCAAGATGAGGACATGCTTAATCATCCTTTTTAGAATTAACCTCTGTATTGACCATTTTATCTATATGTAATTTTTTAAAACCAAGGTTTATAGACAAGAATGGGCTACTTTCTTCCATCTGCTTGCAGACATGTGCTCACCGATATGAAAAAAGGCAGCATGTTAATACGAAGCAGGAATCCCGAGACATCTTTGGGCGGTGTTATGTCCTGAGCCAGAATCTCAGGATTGAAGACGATATGGATGGGGGAGATTGGAGCTTTTGTGATGGGCGATTGAGAGGCCATGAGAAATTTGGCTCTTGCCAGCAAGGTGTAGCAGCTACTTTTACTAAAGACTTTCATTACATTGTATTTGGAGCCCCGGGTACTTACAACTGGAAAGGTATGACCTTTGTATTTATAGAAATAGAGATTAGAATGTCTCCCTAATTTCTGTAATATGATTTTTGTACCATGATTTAGTACATTTTGAGCTAAAATGTGTTAGAAGACATTTGTATATTATGAAAGTTGGGTAGGCTATTAAAAATCTCTAAACAATATGATTTTTAAAAGCTAATAATAGTGGAATGTATGTTTTAGTGTTGACGTTCTTTTCTCCTCTACCAGTACTTTAATTCAGGTAGTTAACTTTTTAAAGTAGGAATATAATAATTAACATTAGTATTTTTTGCTGTTTTATATTTGTGTGGCTCATGAAGCTAGAAGTGTTAATTTTAAGTTAGTGATCTGAAAACTTAGGAGAATTAAATAATGGTATATACAAATAACAGTGTATTAACATGGACATTAATAACTGTATTAATATGGACATTTCTCTCTGTATATGTTATTTTCAAAGGCCATGCTTTGCTAATAATTCAGTAAAGTTAGAAGGGCAGATTACAGACAAATTGGGGAATTTTGAGGTATAATTTCAGATATATGAGGAAAAGTTGTTTGATTATTGTGATGTGAGTAAATGGAGATGTGGAGAGGTAAAGAGGAAAATGGCCCACATTTTTTGACTATGTGAACCTGGTCAGTTCCTGCTAAGCAGTTTAACTTCTCTGAAGAAATTAAGCAGGCATAGAAAATGCTATATCATAAAAGACAATTAACCTGTCATCCATGGTGAAGAGAACTGCAGCTGATTTGAAAATAAGCCATTTTTGAGAAATTTATTAATATAAGTCATATAACACTTTCACTCATCACGGAGAACTTAGGAAAATGTTCCCCTTTCCATTCAAAAATGTGTTTTAATTCTGGTTCTAAATGAATTTTCAACACCATTCTCTGTGTGCAATCTTCAAGGGTAATTTCCCTTTGCCCCCCACCTCACCCCAACAGGATCTTCATGTACAGTATTTCCCAGGTTATTTTGACCTAACTGAAATTACATGTTGAATTTAGTTTTATTTTAGCCTGAATAAATGCCATATACGGTAAAACAAAACAAAAACATCCACCAATTATGTATATTTTAATTCACGGAAAATATGGTTTTCTTGCTTTATAAACCCTGACCTAAAATGTTGCCATTTAAAGTCATATAGTGATTTGGGCTTACTATATGAAATCTTATGTTTTAAATTACTAATTGTAAGAATATTTAGAAGATGATATCTTGGTTAAAGTGACTGAAGAAAAGATCAATGTCTCACTTTTACACTGCTGAAAAAGGACAACTTGAGGCGGGATTACAGAGAACGTAAAATATATGTATCAAGTTCATGTCATTTAAAAATTTGTTCTCTATAGGTTTTGTTAACTAAGCAAACCTTCCATTTTTCATCTAGTTTCATGGCATTATAAAGACAGTTCATGAAAATGCATGGGACATTTTTTAATGACTCAAATTTCTTTCTCATAAAAATTTACGCAAACATACTTAACAACCATAAAAGTCATCTCTGTCCTTCCTTTTTTTCCTTCAAATTTTTTTTCCTGTAACTAGTGATAGCATGGGGGATGTTTATTAGGAACCATTTATTTTCTTTTGTTTCATCTTCATTTTTTGTTGTTGTTTTTACCATTTCATTCCTTTAGGGATTGTTCGTGTAGAGCAAAAGAATAACACTTTTTTTGACATGAACATCTATGAAGATGGGCCTTATGAAGTTGGTGGAGAGACTGAGCATGATGAAAGTCTCGTTCCTGTTCCTGCTAACAGTTACTTAGGTAGGAGCAGGCACAGATGGCTGCCTTTGCCCACCTTCTCAGATACTTTGTGTGAAACTCCCTCGCAGGGCCTACTGCCCCTGGACTTCTAGGCTGAGAAGAGGCCAGGTGGGGCCGGGCCCTGTGGCCACTTTTGCTGCAACTTGATAAGCTTGGTGATCTAGAGGCGTTATTAACCTGATCGATGCCTGGGATCCTTTCTTTCTGACCGGGGCTCCCTCAAAGTGGGGAAGAAACCTATTATCACCTAAAATCGTCCGTCCTTCTTCCTGCTTGGAAGTCTGTCTCTTGAGCTAATGGCGGCCTCCGTAACCTGAAACAGTTTGTTCATGCAGCCATGAAAATGTGCATGGGTGTTCACAGTAAGCTGAGCTCTTTGTTCAGTGCCTCTTTCCAGAGATACTCTTAAGAACTGCATTTAATAAAGTTACTCTTAAGTGGCAAGTCAAGACCTCCAGGTCCTCCCTCTGTGATTGTGGTTCTCCGAGGATTGGCCCTGCTTCTGGATTGGGACCCCCATGTCACAGGGCCCTGCAGATGGATAAAAGCTTCCCAGTGGAGGTTGAGCAGGACTGCTAAAGCGGCTTTCAGGACACCCAGACTGTGTCTAAGGGCCAATTCCTTAACTCCTAAGGCTTGTTTGCATGACTAATGGGTGTCCTAAGTTATTCATGTGCATTATGGTAATTACACAAAGCCTTTTAAAAGCTTTAATTCTTGGTATGAGTTGACATAAAGAATAATTACTGTGGATTTCTTGGAAAAAATATAAAAAACTTCTAAATAGTAACCTGTTTTTTAAAAAAATGGAGAAAAGTACCCAGATGTTAGGGTATTACTGGAACAATGGAAGGTAAAAAATGAAAAAACAGGTATAGATATATGAATAATTTCAAACAATGTGCTAGTAAACACGCATTAAGAAGTTGTTCAGGCCCGGCCTGGTGGCTCACACTTGTAATCCCAACACTTTGGGAGCCCGAGGTGGGCAGATTACTTGAGGCCAGGAGTTCAAGACCAGCCTGGCCAATTCAGCAAAACCCCTTCTCTACTAAAAATACAAAAATATTAGCCAGGCATGGTGGTGCACATCTGTAGTCCCAGCTACTCAGGAGGCTGAGGTAGGAGAATCACTTGAACCTGCAAGGTGGAAGTTGCAGTAAGCTGTGATTGCACCGCTGCCCTCCAGTCTGGGCAACAGAGCAGGACCCTGCCTCAGAATGTTTTATTTAGGGATTACTTATGACAAAAATTAATTGTAATTACACTGGCCAAGAAACCAATACTTTGGTCTTTAAGATGGATGGCTGTGGATTTTATAAATGTACTTGCTGTTAGAACATACGAAAATATGAAGCATTTTTTCTGAAATACATTTGCCACTTATAGAATGGATTTCCTCAAAAGTGAATGCCTGAGAAAGATATCAAACTCATATTGTTACATTTGGCTTGTCCGTGCTGTGTGTGAATCTGTCACTTCAAAAGATCAGAGGGTTTGGGGGAATAAAATGATCCGCTTGAGGTTTTGGAAGCGGGCAATGAGAGCAGCTTGACGGATGCAGTGGTGGCCTCCTCATCCAGCGAGAACAGCAGTGGCTGTCCTGCCTCTTACCAAGCATAATTACTTTTTCTTCAATTTCTTCCGTCCCGTGCATGCGTACAGGCTTGCTGTTTTTGACCAGCGTTTCCTATACAGATCCTGATCAGTTTGTTTATAAAACACGGCCTCCCCGGGAGCAGCCTGACACATTCCCTGATGTGATGATGAATAGCTACCTAGGTTCGTGACCTCTGCGATGACAAATAAATTGTCTTGGTTGTGGTCATTAACATTTTTTTTTTGATCCATACGGAGCATAAATCTTTTTATGTCCTATTTTGTTTCCATTGAAGCACACACAAAAAGCATGCCATGGTTGGGGCTCTGTGGCCAGATGGCTGGATTCCATATTGCCCTCTCTAATCTGGTGGCTCATGTTTTTTAATTCACTTCACAATTTGAGAACTGTAACGGTAGTGGTGAAGTTTTTCATAAGTAAAACCCAATAAAGAGGGTGAGCTTATATTATTCTGCATCTGCTTCACCTTTCTATATAAACATTTACTTAATTTGAACGGTTTTGATATGGGCACTTCTATTTGCTTTTCACCATATCTCTTATTTTTGTAATCTGACATCCTACCTGATGCTTTATAATGGGAGTGTCCTAATGTTTTCTGCCCTCTGAACAAGTATATAACTGATACCAATGACAACTTCCTCACCTCTGTTGTTTATACTAGGTTCTCAAATACCATGTATCATCAGTCATTGTTTTGTCTGCATGTTTGTGTCTGAGAACTAAGTTGGTCCAAAACAATGAAATGCTATCTATGGTGGTGATAGCGTTTGTTTTTGTGTGATTACCAAAGAGATTGATGCCTCTTACCAAGCTTAATTACTTTTTCTTCAATTTTATTTTATTCCTGTAAAAATACTGGCCGTTAAATTATAGCAGAACCCTATAATATGCAGTCAATTATGCTTCAAGTCAGGTTGTATTCTCTGTGTAAATGATGTAACATAACCAAATTATTCCTAGATAATTCAGTATCTAGCTTGATCTCCTTTTACCATAGTTCTAATATTAAAATCAGGTGCAAATTGATTCTTAAGATGTATGAATACTTCAAAATTCAAGTTATACATAGGTTTTTTCATTGAAAGTCTTAATATCCATAGAAAGCAGTAAATTTGCTAGCCCCAGGACTTTGTCCTTGGGTCAAATCTGAACTCTGTCACTCATATTACAAATGTGATAGCTGGTGGGAAGGTCAGGAGGAGAGAGGGGTGGGAAGCCAGAGGAAGAGGTAATGATGGAGTTACCCATGTCATAGCCTAAAATATATGGATTGATGTGAGGGGCTGTATATATTTTGTTTTTCTAGGTTTTTCTTTGGACTCAGGGAAAGGTATTGTTTCTAAAGATGAGATCACTTTTGTATCTGGTGCTCCCAGAGCCAATCACAGTGGAGCCGTGGTTTTGCTAAGGAGAGATATGAAGTCTGCACATCTCCTCCCTGAGCACATATTCGATGGAGAAGGTCTGGCCTCTTCATTTGGCTATGATGTGGCGGTGGTGGACCTCAACAAGGATGGGTGAGAATACCTCAGGTTATTTTATGCTGCAAATCATTGCTGCTTTGATTAGCTTCTGTAGGCCTTGAGAAGAGCCGTCCTTTCAGGTTGATTGATGTAAAGAATATTTTTACTGCCACATTTTTACCAACCCATCTTTATCATTTGTATGATGGCAGCAGACAGACATTCATCTCCTTCCCCCAGGGTATAGGATTATATTTTTGATTTTCAGTTTTACTTACATGTTGGGATTATGGGTCCATGAGAATTAAAATTTGAAAAAAATGAACTCAGAAAACACTTGCATGATTCTGTTCTGTGGCTTCATATGGGGCTGATGGAGCATCAGCTCTTGTTGAAAATAGGGATTGGTGATAAAGTCAAAAACAGATCCATGGCTGTTGGTGCCAGTTGGGGTGGGGTAGAATAGTGAGGTCTTAATGGGAGTCCTGCTGCACTGTGGTTCTAACTTGAGGAACTTGCTTTGCGTTCTTACCGTTAGTATTTTTCTTGGGGCATTTTTTACAGGCTACCTTGGTTTTTAAAAAATGCTATAATTGAGTCATAAATTCTGGAGTTGAGGGCCTTTCTATTATATCTCTCTGTAACCTTAGTACCTAGACTGGTGTTGCTGGTATGTTAGCTGTTGGTTCATGGCTCTTTCCCCTCATTATGTTTTTAGGTGGCAAGATATAGTTATTGGAGCCCCACAGTATTTTGATAGAGATGGAGAAGTTGGAGGTGCAGTGTATGTCTACATGAACCAGCAAGGCAGATGGAATAATGTGAAGCCAATTCGTCTTAATGGAACCAAAGATTCTATGTTTGGCATTGCAGTAAAAAATATTGGAGATATTAATCAAGATGGCTACCCAGGTAGATAATAGATTATGAAATGGCTGTGATTTATAGATAGATTATTTGATTGTTTAAATAATAGCACTGCTGGGCACAGTGGCTCATGCCTATAATTCCAGAACTTTGGGAGGCCGAGGTGGATGGATCACCTGAGGTCATGAGTTTGAGACCAGCCTGACCAACATGGGGAAACTAAAAATACAAAGTAGCTGAGTGTGGTGGCACATGCCTGTAATACCAGCTACTCCCAGCTTTGGGAAGCTGAGGCAGGAGAATCGCTTGAACCTGGGGGACAGAGGTTGCGGTGAGCCAAGATTGCTCCATCGCACTCCAACCTGAGCAACAGGAGTGAAACTCCATCTCAAAAAAAAAAAAAAAAGCCAAACGAATAAATAATAGTGCTTATGTCATCTTACTTTAAAATATTGTACTGGAGTGTTTCTAAAGTGTTTCTTAAAATGTTAAAATGTCATGTTGTCAACAGATATTGCAGTTGGAGCTCCGTATGATGACACGGGAAAGGTTTTTATCTATCATGGATCTGCAAATGGAATAAATACCAAACCTACACAGGTAACCACATAACCTGGATTTCTACAGCTACAGTCTCAACTTTTTGCCCTGTAATAAAATATTTAGGTTTAAGTGACTTTTCACACAAATTTTATTTACAAATCCACAATAGTATAGATTTTTTAAAAATGTATTACTAGAAGATACCTTCAGAAAATATAAATGCAATTACTTGCTTGTTCTAATTGTAAAATTTCTTAGATATCTAAGTTAGGAATCAAAGTAATCCAAAGCAAAAGAATGTTATTCTACCCTGACGGCATAAAGAGAGGAGATGTGATATATTCTCTTTAGTAGCGTAGTAAATAGAGATGAAACTGGGCAAACAAAATAGATTACTGTAACTACATGGAGGACGTAGATACAAAAAATTAAAAATTTCTTTTGAGAAAAATAAGACTTGTAGGGAGGGTAGGGAGATTTGGTTTGAAATGGCCTGACTGACTTAATACAATAAACAAGCTCATCAGAAATGGGGTCTTTTATGCTTTGAGAGACTGTGTAAATCAGATGACTTTTATGAAATTAAATGTATGAAGTGTTAGATCATGTAGATATTTATGACTCGTATATAATTTCATATAATTTACTTATAAGTGAACTCTCAAATTCCAGTTCAAAAGAAACTTGTGTGTCTTTTTCAAAGCATAGTTAAGAAGCTCATGTTGCAAGCATAATGTCCATTTGGATGACCTCTGTATTTCAGGTTCTCAAGGGTAAATCACCTTATTTTGGATATTCAATTGCTGGAAACATGGACCTTGATCGAAATTCCTACCCTGATGTTGCTGTTGGTTCCCTCTCAGATTCAGTAACTATTTTCAGGTCTGTTATCTATGATTTTAGTGTTAAGCATGTTCTATAATCAGGTTACACTAAAATGTTGACCTTTTGGGTTGAAATTTGTCATACTTACACTTCAAAGGTTTATATGAATTGCAAAGCTCTTTGTCTTTTGAAGGTAGTAAACAATGTAATAAAAACCTGTTTTCTAAAATCTTTTAAAGTATTTGAGGAAAACATAGATCCAATTTTGATGAAAAAACAAAACACATATAAAACGTGACAGTACAAAGAACATACAGAAGGAAACCCCCTATAATTCACCATGCATTATTAAACTCCAAGATCTTGATTTCTATTTTTATTTTCTGTGATTGTACCATGTATATTTAACAAAATTAAGATCATAATTGTGCATAATTTTGTAACCTGCTTTTGTCTCTTTAGGATACATAGTGGACTTTTTCTATGTCACTGAGTACTTTTCCAAAATGAAGTTAACAATTGTCTATGAGGCATCTTCTGACTGGTTCAGAGCTTATTTAACCAACTGCTGGGCTCTCACTGGATGGTTACATTGCTTCACAATTTTTTTTTTGCCCCCCTGATATAAAAAGCTGTGGAAAACATTCTTACTTTTGTTTATATCCTTGATTATTTCCTTATTATAAATTCCTGGATGTGAAATTGATATATGTGCTTCAAGACTTTTGATTCTGTTTCACCAAGATGACCTCCTGAAAGGGTGTGACATTTCCCATCAGTGGTGTTTGAGTCTCCCTTTAACCAGTGCTTTCATCACTGCTGGAAATCACCATTAAAAATTGGAGGGGTTTTTTCTGTTTGTTTTTTAATTTTCAAAAAGTAGCAGGTTCTTCTTATTATTTTTTTTAAGTTAATAGGCCGGGCGCGGTGGCTCATGCCTGTATTCCCAGCACTTTGGGAGGCTGAGGCAGGCGGATCCACTAGGTCAGGAGATCGAGACCATCCTGGCTAACATGGTGAAACCCTGTCTCTACTAAAACTACAAAAAATTGGGCACGGTGGTGGGCATCTGTAGTCCCAGCTACTCGGGAGGCTGAGGCAGGAGAATGGTGTGAACCTGGGAGGCAGAGCTTGCAGTGAGCCGAGATCGCACCACTGCACTCCAACCTAGATAACAGAGCGAGACTCCGTCTCAAAAACAACAACAACAAAAGTTAATAATATAGAATTATAGAAAGTACAGTACATTATTCCCATCCTCCACAAAACTTTTGAGCATCTCTCTACTTTTAGAGTATCATCAAAAGGCTACACTGTAACTTCTGCTGTCTAATCTGGTTTTTATTTAATCTTGGGATATCTCTTCCTTGTCAATACAAAAGATGACCTAACTTTAGTCAGTTAAATGTTTGCCTCTGTCTATGTGTAATTGATATTTTAATATCCTTACTTTCGTGTCCTCATAAGTAGGTTGACTGTCAACCCTGTACACTTGTTCCCTCTTTACTTGCAGATAGTATGAAAGTAAAATTCAACAACCCTTTGATAAGAATAGCATTAACCTCCCCTTATTTTACAAATGAGGAAACTGAGGCCCAGGACTTGCTTGAGCTTTTAAGTCTGGAGCCTGAGAGACAGAATGTAGCACCTAAATCTTCCCGACTTGAATCCTGGGCATTTTTTCTATTAAATCGTACTAACACTTTAGGGTAGTGTAAATAAACACCAATTTTAAACATGAGGCAGCCAAGCCAATAAGACTTATTTTCTATGTTAAAAGACATAGTTTTCATAATTCATGTATACTGTGCCCTCAAAATTGTGTGTTGTATGTTTAAAAAACAGAAATTAAAATATGTCCTAGGCAGAAATGTCTGTTAAAATATTTTCTTTTGAAATTATGCCACCCTAAAGCATTAATACTATGACATGTAAAATACTGTATCTGTGGCAACTGATTTTAAAATACTTGTGAATTTTTGCCTTTTAAATATGCTCTCAAACCGTAAGAATGTATCTAGTTAGTATCTTAGCACCTAGCAGCTGTCTAAATGTAAAATAAAAACAGAGTGATAAACAATAAAGGAAAATAGAAAAACAGGGAATGTGGGCAGTATTTGACCCTTTATTGGCCCCCACCTTCACCATGAATGGACTTGTGCTCTCTCTAGCCTACCAACAGATTGATTCCAGAAGTTTGAGCTAGTTGTTTGGGATTTGGAATGCATTTTCTTATAGAAACACTATTCTCCAGAATGGCTGGGTTTACCACAAGCCCACCAGAGTCAGCCTAACTGAATCCACGTGGTAATGAAACCCCAGGCCCATTCTGAGTTCTGGTGGCGAGCAATGGAGGTGGGCCTCCCCACCCACTAATACCCCTCAACCCACTGCATACCTGCATTTCTTGTGCCTGTGGCAGCAGTTGGGCCATAGACCCCTGGAGACCCCTGTGGCTGCTGGGAGCAGGGCAGCCAAAACATACGAAAAGGTATTTTCAGACGTGAACCGTGGTAGGGCGTGGAATTGGATCCCAGCTTCTCAAGTGTTTGCGGGGCTGCAGTAGGCAGCACAGAGGTGGGAAGAGGTTTAAAAGTTCAAGTTTTTGCTTGCAGAGATACCATGTGGGTAGAAAAGTTGTCAATCCTGGCAATAGGAAGGCAAAGACTGAAGGTTGTGGGTGGGAGACTCCGAGGGAGGCTGAAGAGAAGGGCAAGTGTTTGTACGATGGAGACGCTCAAGTTCAGGACTGCCTGTATTAATTCACGTTTTGTAGACACGCTGATCATGAGCATCTCAGGTATTAGGTGTATATTGGTGTAATTCTTCCAGAGGGTATGTTGGCAAGACTACTCATAATTAAAAATGCACATATTCTTTGACTCTGAAATTCTGCTGCTGGGAATTTGTCCCACAGATAAACTCAAGTGTGTGCATAGATGATGTTTGTGAAAGCAGAAAGCTCAACAACATGAATGTCTACCAATTAGGTACTGGTTAAATAATGTTACACTGATACGGTGTAACGCCATCAGGTGTGAAAAACAATGAACTAGATCTATGTGTATATATAGGACAAGACCTCTGAAATGAATGAGAAAAAGCCACATACAGAACAATGGCAATTAAGTTCCCATTTAGTTGAAATTATACATATATTTTAGTATTTAATTTTAGATAATTTTAACAGAAACTGACATGTGTCTGGAAGAACATACAAGGCTACTTGGGTGTTTGGGTAGGAATGGAGACAAAGTATTTAACACTCTGAAACTCCTACATGTTGCACATGTACTCATAAGTGTGTATGTTTTTAAACAAATATTGTATAATGAGGCTGTGCATTATATATATTTATATCTATTAACAGTTATTTTCTTCAGCAATGGGGGAAAGCGTCACGTGTATTTTTTTCCTCTGTCTTTAAGCTGTGCTGGGCAGCTAAGGATGCCATCTAGTATGTGAATTAGTCTCACATTCAAGGTAACAAGAGGCTGAGCTTGTTTTTCACTCCTTTGGTCTTCAGATCCCGGCCTGTGATTAATATTCAGAAAACCATCACAGTAACTCCTAATAGAATTGACCTCCGCCAGAAAACAGCGTGTGGGGCGCCTAGCGGGATATGGTGAGCGTCTCTCTGTCTTGGTGGGATCCCCCTCAGTTTCCCACCTCCACTTCATGATGACTCTGTTGTCCTGAGGAGCCCCAGGGAAGATGTCGGGAGAGCTGGGCAAAGGGAAGAGGGTCTGTCAAGTGTTTCTATAACATGTTGATCATCAGTGGGCAGTGGGGGGATTGGAGAGCTAGGGAACATGTTGGGTTTTTTCCACTGCAATAATGGATCTTTTAAGAAATATATGTTTGATTTTATTCAGCCTCCAGGTTAAAGCCTGTTTTGAATATACTGCTAAACCTGCTGGTTATAATCCTTCAATATGTAAGTACCTAGTACCTTTAAAATATGTGTATTTTCTGTCTGCCAGGTTGAAAGTTCTGCATAAATCACAGAAAAATAAAACTGTAGTGGCCAACATGGGTCTGTCAATTCTTGTGTAAAGAATTAAGTGTATATTTTGTCTCCCTTGTAATCAGGAGGGCACAGCACAGTGAGGGAGGAAAAAACTCCACTTGGTCGCCGCTTGAGTTTTCCAGAGCAGATGGTTTAGGACAGAATGGCTTGGAAAAGTACTTATTTGCCACCACAACTGTTTCCTCCGTTTCTGTCTTTGAAAAGCAGTGTGGAAAATTGATTTTGTGGTTGGGAGGTGGTGGGTGGTGGCTGGTGGTTGTGAAAGGGCAACGGCATGAGCCAGAGCACGGCACAGGCTCGCTGCCAGGCTGCCTTCTGTTCCCCATGCCTCTCCCTCCCAGAACACCCTCCCAGAACACCCGCCCTGTGTCCCAAGAGCAGGCCCTTGGGGAATTTGCAGGCCAGCCCTGAGAGGTCAGAGGCCTGGTCTCAGTTTTGATGCTGACTGGCCCTACAGCACAGGGCAAGTCCCTTAACATTTGAGTTTGTTTTCTCATCCGTTCAGAACAATACCTAATAGTCATTAGGGCATACAGTTGTGCTGGAGATGAACTGAGAAGACATGAAAAGCAGTTTGTCATTTATTAGATACTGTTCTGCTTCCTTTCTTTGTAATTCAAAATAAGATTTTTAAAATTAATTTTTGTGGGTACATAGTAGGTGTACATATTTATGGGGCAAGACAGGATTTTTGACAAGAATTTTGACACCGTTAATGATGCTCTTTAACAATAGTGGCCGTAGTAAGCTCTCCTCTGGCATGTTTTAATAGCAGCCACGCTTCAGCTGTGAGTCACCTGACCCCTGGCTCCAGAGTCAAGGCCAGGGGCATAGGAATTCCAAGAAAATCTTTTCTCCAAAGAGGAAAGTGAAAAGTATGAGGAAATTCTCATCCCAGGTCTGGCCATGCTCCTGGCAGTTTGGGATACTGGTGTACTGTATCTGCCACCAAGGGACACTTTGTGAAGACCAAGGTCATTCTGTCCTTTGATATGGTTGTTAGCCTTTACGATACTATGAGGTAATGAGTCCTCTGAAGTGTTCTTTCTGTTATCTAAAGTAGTACTGTTTTCTTTCTTTAAAAAGGTGTCCCTTATAATATTCCAGAATGTAATGTAATTAAAATAACCTTTAAGTTGTTGCTTGAAACAGGAAAAAAATAGCCACATAAGGACTAGGGTTTGCGATGGTGAATCCTCTCACATGTCACAGCTCTGTTCTTAGCTGTACTCTAATTCTTCTTTAATTTTATATAAAGTTTTATGTAACACTAATGAATGTATCTACTAAGGCAACAGAATGAAGATACTGACCTGTGATAAAGTTCAATGAATTAAGAAAAGGAACAGTTTAAATAAATGTACTATCTTTAATTTTTTTTTAAGTCCCCGTTCACCCGATTCTTACTGTCATAAGCTCACTTAGCCTTCATCTTTCCAGATTTCCAGCTGTCTGCAGGTGGTTTCTCTGTCTCCCCGTCTGTGGGGTCGTCTCCTGCTGTGTGGTCTCTCCACGGGACCTGCAGACCTTGCACGAAGCATTCTTAGAGTGGACGGATTATGACTTTGTGCACAGGGGGAGCTGTGGCCTTTTTGCTTTGCTTTTTGACGCAGCCGGCATTTTGTCGAGTGTAGAAAGCAATTCTTTGTGTGACTTTTAATGACAAGAAAATGTGTTCCGTGACTCTTCAGGATCTATCATCCTTTCAGTATCATTTGTGTTATTTTTACCCAAATGCCATACCTTATACTACCCCACTTGGATAACAAGCCCTTTGCCAGTGTTTGAAATGAATTAGACCAGAAGAAAACAGTGATTCTTTGACTAGGCAGCCAGAGAAAAAGGGAAAACATTTTTTATTCTATTCTGATGGCCATTTTTTCAAACCACTTTCAGTTTGACTGTAGATATGAAATCTCATTGGAGCACTCCCTTGTCTTCCCCCAAATTAATGACCTATATAAAATACAGACTTTCTTCTAGCTGTAGCGCAGCACTTGATGCCATGTGTATTACTTTTACGTTATGTAGCTACTCCATTAACCAAATGTTTATGAATGGCCTATTATGGGTGAAACTTTCCTTTGAAGACATTCAAAGAACATTTGCTTTCATTGCTTTTACGTCCACAGTAAATTCTAAATGAACTAAGACAGAACTTCTACAAAGCTACATAAGTTAATACATCTAAAATCTTCTCCCAGTATCCAAGAATGTGAGCTTATTGTTTGACCAGGCTGCTTTAACTCAGCAGTCCTCAGATGTGGTGTTCCATACATATAGATATCTATAATTGAGCCGTAATGAGTGTTCTACTTGGCTTGCCCCTCAAGGGGTCAGCAAAGGTGGCCTGCAAAGATTTTAAGATGATGTGGACTGTCTGGAGGGTTAGGGAAGGTTAGAGTAAATTTGGCAGATAAGCGGTTTTCCTGCACCCACACCTCCCATACTTCTGCTGTGAGGGGCACTCAGCGTGTGAGCCTTTATCTGGTTCATTGTGAAGCTAGCAGGTCACTTACAAATGGATGATGTCAAGGCTGCAGAGGGCCTAAAATGGGGGAGCATTCCATTTGGCAGCTGTGACATTTAAGAATTCTCCAGATGGACACAAAAATTACTATTGAAACTGTCAGTGTTTCTGAATTTTGGTCTGAATTGCTCACATTCAGCATAAGAATGTCACATCGTGTGTGTGTGCATGAGTGTGCAAGTGGGGAACCCGTTACTTCCACTTCTGTTCATCTGTTCTGTAAATCATATGTCTATCAGGTGTTGTGCTAGTTGCTGGGGACTGTGGTGGGGAATAAGACTGATGGAGTCCTTGTCCTTGTCCTCAGCTTTACCCCACTGTGGGAGAGAATCAGGAAATCACAGCGTAGTGGGTCTAGGTGTAGAGACTGGAGAGATGGAATACTCTAGGATCGCGAGGAGAGGCCAGGACAGGCTTTCTGGAGGAGATGAGGTCCAAGCTGAGATTTGAAGGGGAAGGGAGGGCTTAGCCAAGCAGGCCAACCCTGCTGGGAGGTGGAAGGGGAAAGAAGGGAAAGACAGCTGGCTGAGGGAAGGAGTGACTCCTGCAGTGGCCAAGAGGCAAGTGAGACCTGGACATCTAAGACCCTGTGGAAAGCAATCACCTTTTGTGTTTGTGATAGAGACTTAGAAGCTGGTGCTGCCTCTGTCCCTCTCAGTATGACCCCAAGCCTCCCCAGAAAAGGTCTCTTCCAACTCTAAAGTGAATATTAGAATGTGAGTTATTAATTTTCTGTGTTTTCTATAGCAGATTTTTGTCCTGGAGGTTGCCTTCTCCAGCCCTCCACACACTTTGGTTTGCTTTCCCTTTTGATGGTTAGTGAGTGCTTAATGAATGTAAGTAATTTAAGTATTGGCCCATGAAAAACACAGTTAGCAGCCACATCTAATGAACCAACAAAGAATGTGTTCTGAAGTCAAAAAATGAGATTCTGATCGTCCACATCCTGGCTTCCCTACAGGTTCCATTAATGTAGGTTATCAAGAACAGGCTGTGCCTTCTAGCCCAGTACAGGGTAGGCAGTTTAGTTGTAGGAGCTATATTATGCTGACAGGCCCTCTATCCACTCAAAAATATATAAATTACCTCTTAATTCTTTTTTATCTTTATTATTATTATTATTATTTTGAGAAAGTTTCACTCTTGTTGCCCAGACCGGAGTGCCATGGCATGAATTTGGCTCACTGTAACCTCTGCCTCCTGGGTTCAAGCAATTCTCCTTCCTCAGCCTCCCGAGTAGCTAGATTACAGGCGTGTGCCAACACGCCCAGCTAATTTTTGTATTTTTAGTAGAGACAGGGTTTCACCATGTTGGTCAGGCTGGTCTCAAACTTCTGATCTCGGGTGATCCACCCACCTTGGCCTCCCAGAGTGCTGGGATGACAGGTATAATTCACTGCGCCCGGCCTCTTTTATTTTTTAAGGTAAAGGTCTCATCCTACTGTTGAAAGACTTCTCCGTCTCTAAAATATATTATTCCTCTTTTTAGACAACTATCCTTTATCAGTGCTTCTTAAAACTTCAATATGTATAACAATCATCTGGTGATGCTGTTATTAATAACACAGATTCTGGTTCTGTAGGTGTAACTGGGCTTGAGGTTCTGCATCCTCACAGGCCCTCAGGAGATGCTGCTGTTCTAGAGAGACCTTTTCCAAATAGCAAAGGCACGAGGCCACTTGAATAAGCAGTGACTGTTTAAAGGGAGAAAATCAGTTTAGGTCCTCAGGGGGAGTGTTGGGTTTTTCTACTTATCCTTAGTATTCTGTGGGTTCATGAGCTTCAGCCAGAAACTGATTCTTAATAACTGCTGAAAGGTTTTAACTTATTCTTGAGCTCCCCCAGGTGGCACAATGAAAATTTAACTTTGAAACATTGTTAACAGCAAAAGGAAGGAAAAGACAGCTTGATTTGAACCATCACAGTTGTGTGAATGCATATTACCAGGGAATTTGAAGAGAAACAATGGCAATGTTTTCTATAAGAAATTAAAATCTTAAAAGGAGTTCAATATGCTTGTGGCTGGATTGTGCATGAATGCACTTACATTAATATGATTTTAATTTTATCTAGCAATTGTGGGCACACTCGAAGCTGAAAAAGAAAGAAGAAAATCTGGGCTATCCTCAAGAGTTCAGTTTCGAAACCAAGGTTCTGAGCCCAAATATACTCAAGAACTAACTCTGAAAAGGCAGAAACAGAAAGTGTGCATGGAGGAAACCCTCTGGCTACAGGTGAGGGCTGTGGACGGTCACATCTGTTTTATGAAGAGGACAGAAAAAGGTTATATGGTGATATACAGATTTCTGAAATTTAGTCTAGCAACCTCTTAATCAATACAAAATCATTGTTTTGGAATTCCCCGATAGGATTTATACCCCCACTTAACTGTGACTGCATGCTTTTCAGGATAATATCAGAGATAAACTGCGTCCCATTCCCATAACTGCTTCAGTGGAGATCCAAGAACCAAGCTCTCGTAGGCGAGTTAATTCACTTCCAGAAGTTCTTCCAATTCTGAATTCAGATGAACCCAAGACAGCTCATACTGATGTAAGTCTCTCTGACTCTCATTTTGCCAAAGTTTTTGCCATTTATGGTGCTAAATCAAATGTCTTTGAAGGGAATAGAACTAGTGATTTGCTTTAAAGGCCGTTCTTTTGTGTTAATATGTTTTTAATGTATGCAAAGTTAGAGAAGACTTGTTTCCCAAATTAGCAATAAACATATAAAACATGAAATACGATTTGGGGCCAGAATGTATTTTCCTTCTTCATTTTTGGCCATTATAACTTATCGAGACTATAAATGGTAGAGCTTACATTCTCACACTGTTTCTCCGTTAGCTGTACATAGAAAGAAAAATACATTGTGTTTTACAATTGAGAACGCTGAAATACAGAAAGCAAATATATTGCTAGTCAGAACATTAAAATCAAGGAATAGCAAAATTCAGCAAAGCAAAAAAGTATTATTAGCATATAGTAGTCATTTAGTGCCTAATACAGCCTAAGTCATCTTTGGAAGAAAAATGTATATTAGATGGTCTGCTGGATACTTCATATGAGGTGGGGTCTGTTTGCTAGGGGTTTAGGATGGTTAAGATGCAAGGTTAGCCCGGGGAGCTATGACAGCTTGATTTGGCATTATTATGTTCTTGCTTTCAAAATCTAATTGATGATGGCCAGGTGTGGTGGCTCATGCCTGTAATCCCAGAACTTTGGGAGGCCAAGGCGGGCAGGTCACTTGAGGTCAGGAGTTTGAGACCAGCCTGGCCAACATGGTGAAACACCATCTCTACTAAAAACACAAAAGTTAGCGGGTATGATAGCGCATGCCTGTAATCACAGCTACACAGGAGGCTGAGGCAGGAGAATCACTTAAACCCGGGAGGTGGAGGTTGCAGTGAGCCGAGATGTCTACACTGCACTCCAGCCTGGGCAAAAAGAGTGAGACTCCATCTCAAAAAAAAAAAAAAATGTAATTGATGATGAGCGTCTGTCCACTCTGGGGCTCCTGGTACTGGTGCCTTACTGAGGCAGCTTTGCAGAAGTGAGTCCTCACTGTCTCAGGCTCAGGAGCTGATGCTTACATCTGCACATTGTCAGTCATTTTTGTCACCAAATATAGTTCCTTATATTTCTGTATATCTTTATGTGCTTTTGTTATTATTATCATGTTAATATTTCTTGTGTACATTCCCAGCTCCATAGCTAGAGATGATTTTCCTATTTATCAGTATGATTATCAAGCACCCATTAGCATGGTACTAGCATGCCGTTTGCTTACCTGACCTTAAGCTGTTTCCTCATCTCTACAATGGGAATCATAATAATAGTATCTTTCTAGAGGCCTGTCGTGAGGATTAAATGAGTTAAGATATGTAAATCGAGTATTATAATCGTTGGCATGATCATTATTATTGATACTTCTTACAATAGCCCTATAAAGTTAGAATGGTGGTATCTGCACGTGACCTATGATGAAACTTGGACTCTGAAAGGTTAAGTGACTTGCTAGCTAAGTAAGGGGTAGAGCTGGGTTTCAAACCCAAATCTTTGTGGCTGCTGAGTGACACTCTTCTATATCACACTGCCACCATGCCCTGGTCAAAGTGTTCTTCAAACACAATTTTACTAAAGGACAGAATGGGAATTCGATGTGTGACAGAGTACATTTAAAGCTTGAATTCTGCAATGGTGATTGTCACACAGGGAAATGAACTGTGTGGAATAGCCAGTCACCTACATCGATGCCTTCCTAAGTCCTGAATGGTGTAAATTGACAATAGTTTCGTTTTCCTACAGGTGCACTTCTTAAAAGAGGGATGTGGAGACGACAATGTATGTAACAGCAACCTTAAACTAGAATACAAATTTTGCACCCGAGAAGGAAGTCAAGACAAATTTTCTTATTTACCAATGTAAGAATCGCTCTGTAGCACTAGCAAAAATGATTCTGGCTTCACGATAGCTTTGTGTTAAGAAAGTTTACTGGAAACGTATTGAGGACTTTGCCTTTTTGTTCTTTTTGTTTTTTTTTTTTTAATAGTCAAAAAGGTGTACCAGAACTAGTTCTAAAAGATCAGAAGGATATTGCTTTAGAAATAACAGTGACAAACAGCCCTTCCAACCCAAGGAATCCCACAAAAGATGGCGATGACGCCCATGAGGCTAAACTGATTGCAACGTTTCCAGACACTTTGACATATTCTGCATATAGAGAACTGAGGGCTTTCCCTGTAAGTATTGTTAGAGACCAGCTGAGAGGGAAAAAGCCAACACTGTGCGGCAAATGGGTGGATTGTGACCTAGTGTGTGTTTCTTTTACAGGAGAAACAGTTGAGTTGTGTTGCCAACCAGAATGGCTCGCAAGCTGACTGTGAGCTTGGAAATCCTTTTAAAAGAAATTCAAGTGTAGGTGATGCCTTCATGTACTATATTTTACTGTTTTAAATACCATTGCAGTGTCAGTACGGATGGCCTGTGTTAACAGCTATTTATGTTTTTATAGGTTACTTTTTATTTGGTTTTAAGTACAACTGAAGTCACCTTTGACACCCCAGATCTGGATATTAATCTGAAGTTAGAAACGTAAGAGTTACATCAACCTCTCCATTCAGAATTATTTCATGAAAACACGGGCAGTCAATGAATTGGCCCTGATCTACCTCATAAAAGAAGTCTAATTGTAGTGAGAAAACTGACTGGTAAAATACAACCCTATTGTTTCTTTTTCATTTTCAGAACAAGCAATCAAGATAATTTGGCTCCAATTACAGCTAAAGCAAAAGTGGTTATTGAACTGCTTTTATCGGTCTCGGGGTAAGTGTTTGTGTTTAGCATAACAAATCAATGTTTGAAAGAACCATTTACAATCCTCACTAAAACTAGTGCTTTTTAATTTGACAGAGTTGCTAAACCTTCCCAGGTGTATTTTGGAGGTACAGTTGTTGGCGAGCAAGCTATGAAATCTGAAGATGAAGTGGGAAGTTTAATAGAGTATGAATTCAGGGTAAGTTGGAGCAGTTGGCCTTTTCATTATACCAAAAGCTGATCTATACTAGGTATGGTCTTGAGTATGTCATTTTAATAAATCAGCAATACTAATGAGCATTATAAATAAATCATCAGTTAAAAATTAGTTTGACAGCTTTTAAAGAATATACTGGCTTTTGTGAAAACTTCATGCTCCGGGATGGAGAACAACTGTCACTGTTCAGAATCCAGTTCAGTTTAGAATGCGTTATGATTTATTCCTTCCTCCTTTATAAGGTCATCTTTCTTATTGCTTGTGTTTGAAAGAATATTAATGTTATGCCTGCCTTTCACAAGCCCAGTTTTGTGGTGAATGTAGATTTGGTGTATGCCTGTAGGAAAGGCAGTGACTGGCTCTGAACCATTTCAAAGTAGGCAATCAGTGACTGTTTGTCCTGTTGAATAAACATAAACATATGGTACGGAGTCTGCTCGTAACTCACACATGGGTTTAGGTCTGTGTGGCTGAAATCACATTCCTGAAGGCATAGTGACCATTGTGGTGAAAGCCTCAAATGGCAAGCATGGGCCCACCTCTGACTCCAGCAGAATGAAGAGGCTGAATTCTCCTCTGTGTGTCTCTTAGCATTATAGACACAGCTGGGGCAGGTGGTGGTGGTGGTTATGATCTCTATGCAGGTGCAGTTGGAAAAGAAGTCTTTGGATTCTGGAACAGTCTCCACACTAAGAGGGCTCTTACCGCCTGTGTTTGGCTTCTGCCGCAGGACGTCGCTCTGTTCCCAGCTTGGACTCTCAGATTTGTGGCTGTCCTGATGGTTTTGCAGAATCTCCTCTGGGACAGAGGCAGCTTCATTTTTGCAGTGGATGGGGTTTTCCAGAAGCAGGTTGTTGGTACACTGCCTTGGCCCAGGCCTTGTCATTGGCCAAGCCAGGTGGTTACAGGCCAGTTCACAAATCCACACATGATTTTCCCTGGGCATATGTTGAGAACATGGTATATCTGCTGATTCTGTTGCATACAGCAGTTGTTCCTAGAATGAGTTAGCTATCGTTTGTCCTTTGACCTTTTTGTTTTTATTTATAAAAATCTTTAGGTACAAGTCTTTATTTTGAATGCCCTATCTATAGTCCAGTTTTGGAGCCTGTGCTTTAAGGATTATGCTAGATATTTTAGCTTCTTTCCCTTGGTAATAGGAGCTGCTACTTAAATTTACATTGAGAAGATTAGACTGAGATAATATGTATTATTTTCTAACAGGTAATTAACTTAGGTAAACCTCTTAAAAACCTCGGCACAGCAACCTTGAACATTCAGTGGCCAAAAGAAATTAGCAATGGCAAATGGTTGCTTTATCTGGTGAAAGTAGAATCCAAAGGATTGGAAAAGATAACTTGTGAGCCACAAAAGGAGATAAACTTCCTGAACCTCAAGGTATGTTGGTAGATTTATCTAATGTCTCCATAAATGCAAATTAGAGAAACTCACTTTTTGGGGGAAAATCATTACTGTCCTTAGGAAACTGGCATTCTGGCAGGTGGGTTTTTTCTTTGGTTGTCACAATTTCTCTTTTCTAGTTGAGTAACTGAGGCAGGCTGAGGCATTTTTGCTGGTTAGTGACCATTATAGTACATAAGGCAGAGTCATTCAGTGTTTGGTGAGGCAAATGGCATTTTCTGACGTCTCATCATGACGCAGTATGTTACATAATAAGGAGAACTGGGGGATGCTCCTGGGTAATAGTAGCTGCTATTACCTAGGGGCCAGCCAGTGTTCACTCCAAGTAGAACCAGACTCGTTGGAAGAGATAACGGCATCTTAGCAAGTAACCTTGAAAGCTTTTTATGCTTAGTTTTAAAATAGTAATTATTTACTGTGTACTTATTGTGTCTCAGGAACTATGCTAAGCATTTCGTTTGCATTTTCTCATTTCATTCTCTGGATGGGCCTATGAGGGAGTGTCATTATCCCCACCATTTTATAGATGAGGACATTAAGATTCAGAGAGCAAGTAACTCTCTCAGCCACTCAGGTGTTAAGAAACAGATTCCACATGCAAACCCTGCTCTGCCTGATGTCAAAGCCTGTACTCTTAACCCCTCTCTATACTGCTCTATGCTTAGATAACTGGCCTGTCATTTCTGTTCCAGTTCGATGAAGGTTTGTGTGTTTCTTTCTTTTATTTTAAATTCTAAGGTGACTGGGTATGATCAGTGATCAGAGTTGATGGCTTAGCATGATGTTCTACTCATTAATGTTAAAAATCAAGATAATCCATTATTACTAATCTTTGTGCCGGGCGCAGTGGCTCAAGCCTGTAATCCCAGCACTTTGGGAGGCCGAGATGGGCGGATCACGAGGTCAGGAGATCAAGACCATCCTGGCTAACACGGTGAAACCCCGTCTCTACTGAAAAATACAAAAAACTAGCCGGGCGAGGTGGCGGGCGCCTGTAGTCCCAGCTACTTGAGAGGCTGAGGCAGGAGAATGGTGTGAACCCGGGAGGCGGAGCTTGCAGTGAGCTGAGATCTAGCCACTGCACTCCAGCCTGGGCCGCAGAGCGAGACTCCGTCTCAAAAAAAAACAACAAAAAACTAATCTTTGCTATAAGGAAAATGCAATTTTAAAAGTTCTTGTATGGCTTAGTTTTCATTGCTCTGCTCTGAATGAGCTATATAATGGGTGTTTTTCCTTCTTTCTCTGTTCTTGAGTGTCACTTACTCCTTCAAGATGTGCTGACCACCATGTTTTAGAAACAGAACTGGAGGCTAGCGATACAGGAATATTTGATCTCTGATCTCAGTATGCCCACAGTTTGGTGGGGATACAGAGACACAAAGAAAGCATATTTCTTTTTCTCTGAGTTTTTAGGTCAGAGTGGGAATACATTACTTAGTCCTATGAGTAAATCAATAAACTTGAATTTAGAGTGATAATACTTGCTGGTTTTACACTTATTTCTGTGCCTTTGGCAGGAGAGAGGCAAATATTGTTGAGTGTGTGAATCTGGTACTGTTCAGGAGGGTATGCTCAAGAGGCTTGTATGGTAGCGACAAAGAATTATGTACATTGGAACTACTTTGGATATAATTTTTTTTAGGAGTCTCACAACTCAAGAAAGAAACGGGAAATTACTGAAAAACAGATAGATGATAGCAGAAAATTTTCTTTATTTGCTGAAAGAAAATACCAGACTCTTGTAAGTATTTTTCAAGAGCTGTGAATATTTGAGAGGATGAGGGGAAGGACTTCTTCAGAACAATGTCTTTTGATGACCATTCTTCCTTTTCTCTCTAGAACTGTAGCGTGAATGTGAACTGTGTGAACATCAGATGCCCGCTGCGAGGGCTGGACAGCAAGGCGTCTCTTATTTTGCGCTCGAGGTTATGGAACAGCACATTTCTAGAGGTATGACCTCGGCGTGAGGATGTCCCATGGAATTAATTTGCCTCTGCCTAGGACACTTCTCACTTCCCTAATGCATTCACTAACCGTCTCCAAACAGGAATATTCCAAACTGAACTACTTGGACATTCTCGTGCGAGCCTTCATTGATGTGACTGCTGCTGCCGAAAATATCAAGCTGCCAAATGCAGGCACTCAGGTGAGAGGTTCCCCAGCTTCATTCAGGTTCAGAACAGGTCTCTCTTCCTGATACCCCACACTCATGTCCTGAAGTGCTTTGGTGCTCATTTCCCTCGTAGCCCCATTATGGAGAAAATAGTGTCTTGAGGTACTGGCACTACAAGCTGTATTTTAATAGAATCATTGAAAAAAAGAAGTAAATCCTAGGGTCATCCAGTTCAGCAGTGCCCATGGTAGGTTTGAGAACTATTGGCTTAATTGAAAGAAGGGTATACCTCACAGCCCTCTAGAAACCTGTATCTTCTACCATCTCCAATGCTGCAGCCATTGGTGTAATGCCCCAGTGATGGCCCATGCCATGGCCAGCTGTAATTATTAGAAAAGATCTCTTCATAGCTGAATCCTGAGCTGAACCTTGTGAAGTAAGTCCCTGGTTATGCCCCTCAAACAAGTCTAAAATAAGTTCTGTCTCTTGACCATGGAGCAGCCTCTCAAATAATTGAAGGAAATGATCATGCCTCCTTGGATGTTTCTTATTCTTCTCAGAGCTTACACACCCAGCTCTTGAGTTGTGTGTCACATTGGGCACAGCCTAACCAGCTCCTGGCCTCTCCCTTCCTGGGCAGTGTGACTCCCACGTGGACAGAGCAGCTAAGGTGGGGTCTGCTTGTCCCACTTACCCTGGGGCCTTTACCTCTCAGCATCTCGGCGCCACACTTCTGTCAGACCTACCTAGAATTTGATTTTTCAAACCATTGCTGAGCAGCATGTTTGAATTTCCAGCAGCTGCTATTTTTGTGTTAGTGTTCTACCGAAACTTCCAGGTGTTTTCATCAGAATTTGTTGTCAAGCTGTGTTTCCAGTATCCTGTCCTTGAGCTATTTGTAAAAATCTAAATGTATGCCTTTAAGTGTATCCTTACATTTTATGTGATTTGCTTTCGGTCCATTGTTTCAGTTTGCAAAGTAACTTTGCATCTTGCTTCATCATTTGCTTTCTCAACTTTCTATCCCTGAAAGTTTTAAAAACTGAGAAGCATATTCTCTCTCTTCATCCAGGTAATGACAAATGTGTTGAACAGGACTAGTTGTAGAACCTTGCAGTGAACCAATAGTGAGGGGTTCCCTGTGGGAGTCTAGAACCCACAGGGACTTGTATAAAGATCTCGAGGCAGAATGACTGCATGTCATGGTGGGAATTGTGAATAGGAATATTTTGCAAAAGAGACTAGAGAAAGAAATACTGTGAATTACTGCTCTTAATCTGCCAGTCTACTTACGGAAATGTTCTGGCTTCAGTCATTTAACTAGCTGAAAATTCAGGGAGCCTCCCTAATCATTCTGTTTTCTGAAATATAGTGGTCCTTATAATTTATTATCCAAACAAGAATACATTTTTGTTATTTATTTTTTTGAGATGGAGTCTTGCTCTCTGTTACCCAGGCTGGAGTGCAGTGGCACAAACACGGCTCACTGCAGACTTGAATGCCTGGGTTCAAGCAATCTTCCTGTCTCACCTCCTGAGTAGCTGGGACCACAGGCATGCCACCACAGTTTTTTATATAGCCAGAGTCTCACCATGTTGCCCGGGCTGGTCTTTAACTCCTGGGCTCAAGCAATCCGACTGCCTCAGCCTCCCAAAATGCTAGGATCATAGGTGTGAGCCACTGCACCCAGCCTCAGGATACATGTGCCTGAGAAAAATGCTGTACTGGGAAAGCTGCTGGGATAAATGGTATCAACCAGCACTGCCCCGGTCTCTCCAGGACATATCAACAGGCATCATAAGGGACTTTCAGATAAACCACACCTTCCCTAAGGATCTTTTCTCTGCATCTATAAAGGCAGCAGGTATAGCTTTCTATAACTGTAAATCAGCAACTCTGAAAACCACTGAGATTTCAGAGCTAGACAGAGAACACTTCAGAGGGAAGGGACGGGACTAACATTAATGAAGCCTTAATAAAATGTCTACAACTTACTAGATACTTTATACTCTATCATTTAAACTTCAGAAGAATGCCAAGGGTAGACATTGTACTCATTTTAAAAATAAGGAAGCAGACTCAGAGAGGGGATATAATTTGAGACCCTTGATTGAAACCCATAATTGTCTGACTTCAGGGCTTCTGTTCTTTGACGTTGTGACACTTGGTCCCCAAATCTCAAATTTAGATAAGAAAACTGAATCCAAGAAAAGATATCTCCCCCTCAGGGTCACTCTACCAGCAAGTAGAGCTGAGACCAGACCTTGGGTCTGATGTCTCTTCAAGTGGTCTCTTCTGGAAGGTGATGAAACTGGGGGCCCCGGTATCCAGTCTAATGACTGGGTCACAAATGAAAATGAGGTTATCTTGGGCATTTTATGTTCTTAGAGCTTGGAGAACTCATGCCTCCCAATGGGAATTGATGTCTTCACAAATTGGTAGATTTGTGAATGGGTTACTGGTCTCATATCTAGAACCCATGTCTTTCGAAAATTGAGACATTTTCTTAACTTCTAGTCTTCTGATACCTTTTCTGTTTTCTGAAATACAATAGCTCAGATGTCATATCTGCACATTTCTTTAGTAGTTTAAGCTGTAGTTTTTCTGGGCTTGAAGATCTGAGCTTAATTTGGCTTAAGAAAGCAAAAAAAAAACCTTTGTTTCTTTAAAACCCAACCAATTTCAAGAGTTTTGTGTTTACCTTTTAATAAAACACAGTTAAACTTTGGGAGCCCAAGGCAGGCGGATTGCTTGAGCCCAGGAGTTGGAGACCAGCCTGGGTAACATAGCAAAACCCCATCTCTACAAAAAAAATACAAAAATTAGCCAGGTGGGGTGGCACATGCCTGTATTCCCAGCTACTTGGAAGGTTGAGGTAAGAGGATCACCTCAGCTCAGGAAGTCGAGGCTGCAGTGAGCCAAGATTGCGCCACTACACTCCAGCCAGGACAACAGAGTGAGACCCTGTCTCAACACAAACAATAAAAAACACTTAAATTAGGATACTATTATAATGAAGTCAGGGAGAGCAGAAGTCACATAATTGAGCCAGGTAAGCCATGCTATATATTTTAGCATCAATTAAATTAAATCCATCTTGTTAATAAACACCTATGAAAGGCACATGTATGCCTTCCCTGTGCTAAATGCTAGAGACGCCAAGTTGGGTAAGATACAGTACCAATTGTTAAGAATGTCATGCTGTAGGAGACATAACCAGGAAAACATTGTCAAATTAGCCAAGGAAGTTGAGGTGGATTGTTTATTGGTTGTATTTATATGTCCCCATTTATCCCTAAAGAAGCAAGTAGAGAGTATCCAAGCTGTCAAATATATTTTTTAAATGACCATAAAAAGTGTGTAATTCTTCAGGGGAATAAGATTTCCCCTTTTGGCTCTAAATTCAGAGAACTTAAGATATGGATCCTTTTATAAGATGGCTTCTTATATGAGAAACACCAAGAGTGAATGCTGTCCTTAATAGATAGTTTTGTAAAAGATACAAAACTATCTTTTGTTTTCATTGGGTGACTTCCTGTACTGAAGTTCAGTGAGAATAGTGGGTGGTACATTACGAGTAATTTAGAGAAGGTATTTTGGCAGTTGACAAGCTAATGTGGTCTAAGCCTGCCCACTGGTAATCAAATTTAATGCATCAACAGAGCTTATATCTCTCTTCCCCTTATGGGCACATGGTGGATGAGCTTCACAGGTGTGTGTCATCCCCATGGAAATAACTACATTGTAATGAAACCAAAGGTAAGAAATTCTTTTTGGAGTTGTAAAGTTCTACAGTAGTTTCTACTCACCTATTCATCAGTAACAGTTGGTGTGACAAGACAGAACAGGGCTTGGAGCTCTAGGAATCACAGCCTGCCCTGTCTCCCATCTTTGGTCACCTGGCTCTATGGCCAGCTGCCCCTTGTTCTCAATCCCAGCTGGAGAATGACTGTCATACCAAAAACAAAAACAAAAACAAAAAACAAAAAAACCTTCAGTTGACAGTTTAAGCAAACAACCAATAAAATCTTCCTGAATGGCCTCTCCCCCTCCAGAACCACAGAGCACATCTGCCCTTTAAATATGTACCCAACCCAGTCCCTGACTTTGGTCCTCAGTCTTTGATGCCCAGTGAGTTGTTTAACAACATGTGGAAGTTCTGCTGTGAATGGTGCCAGGCCTGGGGCTTAGAGCTTCAGCTGGATTCCCATCCACCCTGCCACTTCAGGCTGCAAAATCAAAAAGTACTTTGCTCATTTGTTACAATGTTGGATCCCAACCATTTATGGGGGTGGCTTTCCCCTATGTCAGCTGTTTTAAAGACACTTGTGCACAGTGTCATTATAATAAAGCTGATTGCCCTTGCTGAAGACCAGTTTCCACTCTCCACTTCCAGATTTCCTGGAACTTATTCTTACAAATGAGGATGGCCCTTTTACATGACCGCCTTGCCCTAAGGACACACTGTATGCCTTCCTTGTGTTAGATAATAGGGCAACAAAGTTAAACAAGATACAGTTTAGGCTAATTGAAATCATCTATTTGGTTTATTTCATTGTAGTCAGCTTACCAACCACATAACTATTCTATTGCTTCACTGGTCTGTTGCTGTTTCTTCTTCCCTTCTTTGTGGATGTCCCTGTGCTGAACCCAGTAACCCCTTCTCTGTCAGGCGAGGGAAGCAGAGGGGAAGTGAGCCACGAGGCCACCTTGGGGCTCAGAGCTTGTAGAAAACCTCACTTAGAGCATAACAGGAAACATGGTGGCTGATAAAGGTGTGTTATGCCTGCCTGTTACCGTCAGTATAATTGGCTAGATCTCAAGATGTGGTTGCTGTCTATTGAATGTTTAAAGAAAAGCAGTTTTACTGCTTTTAAGTATTTTCTGTAAGTCAGGTGAGGTTGAGAAACTGTTTCCTAGAAGTGGAAAGGGAAGTACTTTGATGAGAGATTTTTTAAAGAAGAACACCACTGCATAGAAGTATCAAAGCACAGTGTAGACATAGCAGCATCCAGGGTTCAATACGGACATAGAATATTTGACTGAAAATGCTCCTCAGAAGTTAAAATGCTCCCCCGAGTTTTGTTTCCCTTTATTTTACATTCTGTTAATTCAGAAATATCAGAAACTTCAAACCAGTAGATCTCTAATCAGTGTCGTTTACAAAATCATGTTCACAGTAATCACCAGGTTTTTAGCATGCTTGGAAAAATAGTTCCTGGTATCACAAAAGTTCATTTGCATTCTACACCCATGTAACTTGAGTTGTTGGAATTGCCAGAAGCAGCTTTTTAGGTTTCTGAGTAAACACTATTTCTATTTAATTGGCATTTGCAAACTATCCTATGTTTAGAGTTTAAGCTTCTCAGCAGCAGCAGCAACTTAAGCGCTAAGCTGCCTCTGAGTGGGTCCAGGGTCTAGTTTGTTCATATACCTTTTTATAGAAGATGGCACCAAGCCATTTCAGGAAATGTTACTGTTTATGAAGGTCTTTAGTGTGATATCCTAAGAAAAAGGTAAAATGGTGTCCATCAGTCATGCAGCCCCATCCCTACTCTTGTATTTCACAACATCTTTAAAGTTTGAATGAGGAAGTGTTGGCTACTTGTGCCTAAACTGGCCCTTTTCTTTCCATTGCTGAAAATTAATTAAAAGAAAGTATAGGCCAGGTGAGGTGGCTTATACTTATGATCCCCGCACTTTGGGAGGTCAAAGCAGGAATCACTTGAAGCCAGCACTTTGTGACCAACCTGAGCAAAACAGCGAGACCTTGTCTCACCAAAACATTTAAAAAAAAATTAGCTGTGCATGGTGGCATGCGCCTGTAGTCCCAGCTACTTGGGAGGCTGAGGTGGGAGGATCACTTGAGCCTGGGAGGTTGAGGCTGCAGTGACCTATGGTCACACCACTTGCACTCCAACCTAGGCAACAGAGTTAAGAGAGTGAGACCCTGTCTCAAAAAAAAAAAAAAAAAAAAAGAAGATACTAGGTTAGATAGATGGAACAGATTGGCTGTTAGATCTGTTTAATTGGGTATCTTTTTGAGAGGAATTTCTTGAGATAGATACACAGACTGGCTGTGTATTGATAATTGCTGCAACAGGATGATGAATACATAAGGGTTCATTATACAGTTGTTTTGATAACAAAATAATGTTTTTTAAAGATAAATTAACAAAAAGTAACCACTTTGTCAGAATACAACCCAGCATTTTCAAGATTCTGGGGAAAGATCTTCAAGCAATGTCTCTTGAAGCAATATTTTGTTAAGAGAAAGGATCTTGCATCAGAAAGTCATCTCATCCATTCACAGGCTGCATTGTCCAAAATATAATTCAAAAGCAGAATTAGAACCATAAACTCCTGGTGTGAACTCTTGCCGCTGTCTGTAGTAATGCTGCTTTCTTTTCTGCCCTATAGGTTCGTGTGACTGTGTTTCCCTCAAAGACTGTAGCTCAGTATTCAGGAGTACCTTGGTGGATCATCCTAGTGGCTATTCTCGCTGGGATTTTGATGCTTGCTTTATTAGTGTTTATACTATGGAAGGTAAGTCATATCTGGCATTTGAATTTCATAACAAACTTTATTTCATGTTTGAACAAATGGGAATCAGCACTGGTAGTATGTTTTCTTTTTCATTGCTTCCTTTTTTCTAACATTATGAAACTCTTTTGACATAGCAAATTTGAGGAAAATTTTTCCATGAACACCTGTATATTTACCGATTATTTTGTATTTAAAGTTATTATTTGTACATAATGTTTCTTAAATGAATGTTGGTGTCTCTCACACATAATTTAGCATGTTTAGCAAATAACAAATTTAGATTTTATTACTTTAGCATTTTCTTCACCTAAGATTGAAGCCTGGATCTAAGCCAAATTGTTAGGTTGTCGTAATAATCTGAATCTGTATCCCTGCTAATTTCAGTTTCTGTGAAGAATGTTCATAGCAGCCATTGGAGTTGGTTATGCTTACAGCTAGATTTGGAGTAGAAAAGTATGACATGAATGAATAACTCTATCTCAAGGGGGGTCATTATAGCATGTATCAAACATAAGGAAGGTCTAGGTTTGATATGATTTTCCTCATTAGAATTTGGCCCTTTGACTGTAAATAAAATGTAATATCTTCCCCTGATTCTACCAGTGAAGAATCTACATTATGAAAAACTGCATATGAGATGGATACAAACTCTTAATGCCCAAAGATTACAACTTAAAAATTTTAGATTATTCCCAGTGAGTGATAGAGGCTTACAGTCCCTTATCTGCAATTCCAAAAAGCTCTGAAACCTTGAGGTGTATAATGACTTTTATTTGGCAGTAAAACCTGACATGATGTAAAGAGAGGCTACTTCGAAGTCTTTATCCTTTATGATTAATTTCACTGCAGGAATATTAACATTTTGATTATAGCAGCATTAGGTATGCAGTGCATTACTCTTTTTTTTTTTTTTTTTTGAGACGGAGTCTCGCTGTGCTCCCAGGCTGGAGTGCAGTGGCGTGATCTCAGCTCACTGCAAGCTCCGCCTCCCGGGTTCACGCCATTCTCCTGCCTCAGCCTCCCAAGTAGCTGAGACTACAGGCGCCCGCCACCACGCCCGGCTAGTTTTTTGTATTTTTAGTAGAGACGGGGTTTCACCATGTTAGCCAGGACAGTCTCGATCTCCTGACCTCGTGATCCACCCGCCTCGGCCTCCCAAAGTGCTGGGATTACAGGCTTGAGCCACCGCGCCCGGCCGCATTACTCTTTTTAAAGGACAAAAATTTTGGATTCTCAAACATGTCTGGTCTGGAGGGTTCTGTATGAACCAGCAACCCCCTAGGATCAAACTATCCTTTTCTTTTCGCTGGATCCAAAAATATAATACATAAGGGTTCAAGATAGTCTTGCAAATATTGAGCATCTGTTTTTGCTTTTTTTTTCCGACTGACTTTTGCCAATTTGAGATAATTTTCTGATGTCTTCTAGACATGGGATTGAAGCTTGGTATCTGCTCATGACAAAACTCCTCCTGGTAGGGAGTTTCAGCCAGTTTTACCTCTCATGTTTACCTCAGGCAGTAGGTTCCTCTGGCAAACATAGCCAGTCAATATAAAAATTTTTTTCAAGGAGATGCCTTGAAGAAAAAAAAAATTTTTTTTGAGGCAGGGTCTCACTCTGTCACCCAGGCTGGATTGCAGTGGCATGATCATGGCTCACTGCAGCCTTGACCTCCTGGGCTCAAGCATTCCTCCCACCTCGGCCTCCTGAGTAGCTGGGACTACATGCCACCACATCTAGCAAGTTTTAAAATTTTTTTTGTAAAGATAAGGCCTTGCTGTGTTGCCCAGGCTGGTCTTCAACTCCTGGGCTCAAGCAATCCTCCTGCCTTGGCCTTCCAAATTGTTGTAATTACAGATGTGAGCCATTGCACCTGGCCTTGAAAATTATTTTGATATTAAAAGCTGAAGTTGGGGTTTGATATTTGAGGATGATATTGTGTTTTCTGGAAGAGGTCATAGGATGGTCTTTTTCAGAGCATTGGCAGCCTTTAATGAGGGTGAGAGCAGTGGATTTAAAGTTAAGAAACCTAAGCTGTATATGATCTTGGTCAAATCATTCCATCTCCCTGGGGCCTCTGTTTTGCCTCGTCTGTTAAATAAATTGATTAGATTAGATGATTTCATTATTTTGGGAGTTTTTATTTTGTTTTTGTTTTTTGAAGCTCTGAAGTATCCAGGCTGTCAAGGGGACTCTAAAATACAGACAACTTACACAACCCCACATGAGAAGCATTTTTATTTATACTTCTATTCAACTGAATTATTTAGTATGTTAAAGTCATAGGATTTTAGGGTCAGAACTACAGTTCAATGGCCCTTAAATTGGATTTTGTATATCCATGTAGAGGGCAAAGCTAAACTTAGACAGATGGAGATCCCTACTTCAACCACAGTAGTTCAGATTGTATCCATTTTTAAATATCAGGATTCTGTACAGGATTTTGTTTGCAGAAAAAAAAATAAAGGTCCCTTGGGCTGGTCTAATCACCTTTATTTTGCTAACAAAGATGCTCATGACCAAGGATATTAAGAATGTTGCCAACTGGGCACAGTGGCTCACGCCTGTAATCCCAGCACTTTGAGAGGCCATGGCGGGCGGATCACGAGGTCAGGAGATTGAGACCATCCTGACTAACACGGTGATACCCCATCTTTACTAAATATACAAAAAATTAGCCAGGCGTGGTGGCGGGTGCCTGTAGTCCCAGCTACTGAGGAGGTTGAGGCAGGAGCATGATGTGAACCCAACCCAGGAGGCGGTGCTTGCAGTGAGCTGAGATCATGCCATTGCTCTCCAGCCTGGGCAACAGAGCGAGACTCCGTCTCTAAAAAAAAGAATGTTGCCAATGGAGGCAGGACCAGGCCTCTTGGTTCCTGGTTCATTCTTCCCACCCTGTTTACTAGCACATATTATTGAAAGCTGCCCAACAAAACTCTGTACTGATGGAAATGTTCTGGAGTTGCAGCATCCAATATGGTAGCCGTTAGTCATGTGTGGCTGTTAAGCACGTGGAATATGGCTGGTTCAATTGAGGCATAGAGTTTTAAATGTAATTTAAATTAATTTCAATCTGAATAGCCTCATGGAGCCAGCAGCTCCCATATATTGTACAAAGTGAATCTAGGCTTTTACCTTCCTGAGTTGCTGGACTAGGAAGCAGTTTTTCAGGAGATTTTATTTGACCAGGTTAAATTTTATAAAAGACAGTTCCATGGCCTTATGAACTAGATAAAATAGGAAAAGTTCTCTATCACTGAATGAAGGAAATTATAGTAGAAAGTGGAATTATACTTTTATACTCATTTAGAGTGACTTAACTTGAGGAGCATGGGGTCCCTACCATTTAAGGGTTATATGGTGCTCAGAGTTTGGGAAAATGACAGCAATCATTCTTTCATGATGGTGTATTCGAATTTGTATTGTGATTCACCCCACAGATCCAAAGTCCTCAAGTAAATGGCATTTGTTCCATAAAATTTACTGTAAAAGGCAGAAAAATAACCACAGTATATCTATATTTTATTTGGATTTGTGCTAACTTTTACTTAGAGAATTTATTTTCTAACCTTTGTCTCAAACTGCCAAAGTCAGTCTTTTGCCTCTTTTGGAGTTCATATTCTCCTGCAGGAGGAAACTACCCAAAGCTACAATCAGCAGTGTATACATGTTTTCCCTATTAGAATGATTTTTGTCCTCAGGATTTCTGTCACAAAGGGAAAAAAAATCAATGAGCTGGCTAGTGTCATCCATATAAATATTTGACCAGAGATGTATGGTGAAGGGTGTATTGAATGTGACAATGAAACAATGCAGTGGCTGTTCACTGTTGGTTGACTGAAAGTGGTCTGTTTATAAACAAGCCACAAGTAGCAGATTAAAATCTGAGATGTTCTGTTGTTTAGTTCTTAAAACTGTAAAATTGACTAAATACCTTGCTTCCTTGTAGTGTGGTTTCTTCAAGAGAAATAAGAAAGATCATTATGATGCCACATATCACAAGGCTGAGATCCATGCTCAGCCATCTGATAAAGAGAGGCTTACTTCTGATGCATAGTATTGATCTACTTCTGTAATTGGTAATTGATCAATGTTTTTTAATTGCTAGCTGTGGGACCCGCTATGGTTGTGGTAGCTAACTTTAAGAACAACAGCTTGCTGTGTGTGTCCCATTAACAGATGTTTCCAAATGTTCACACTGGCTTGCCTTGCTTGGATTTGTTTTATTTCACTTGAAAGCTCCTTTTTTTTTTTTTAAATGCACAAAGAATTTTTCGTTGCAGGTGAGTTATTTTATGTTGTTGTTAAACATTACCCACAGCAATGAAGAAAATTGCAATCTTTGTACACACACACATGAGGCTTTTAGCCCTCCATAGTAGCCCAGTTTGCCACGTGTTATTAATTCAGTATGTAGCATCCTACTAGGGAATTCAAAGATGCATAAGAAATTGCTCCAGATTTCTTGTTCATTTTGGAATTTCCCACAGATAGAAGCTGTGTCGACTGCCTAATTAACCTGTTGCATGTTGGAAATGTGTTTCTCTTGGTTGAGGCTTCCTCACTGTCATCCTTTCGTTTTCTTTGCTATAAAGTGATGGGGAAGGCTTGGAATGCTTTTTACTGTTGCTCAGGAATCGTTTTCTGCTAGCTAAGCATGCAGCTTCCATTTCCTGCGTATCTCCTACAGGTCAAAGACCATTACAACAAACTATGGTTATCAGCATGACGGGCTTTATGGCCAACTTCAGAAGATGATCCTCTACCAAAGTTACTATCTACCAAATTCTAGTACAAAAAAATGCCCTGAAAAGTTTTTATTGTAATATGTTGTGATGGAGTTTGACCATATTTCATGTATCCAGACATTTTATTCAACCTTGGGTCTCATTGATTTTAAATTCAAGTTTCTCTTATTTGTAAATCTATGGAAATAGGAATTGCTGGTGATTCCTTTCACCATTTATGTGGGCATAAATCTGAGATGTTCTGTTGTTTAATTCTTATACACAAGACTGTAAAATTCTTGTGTATAAAATTTTACACAATTTTATAAGACAGAATTACTCCTGTAATCCTTTCCATGGCACTATCACAGTGAATCACAACATTGCCATTTCAGCTTAACAGATCACCTTTAATTTCCCTCTTTGTTTAAATGGGGTAGGCAGCAGTCATATTTTGTAACTGATAAGTACTTTGGCTTTTTTTTTTTTTTTTGCACAGAATAATAAATAAATCCATGTAGAAATGACCTGGAACAAAACATCTTGGTCCATTTTGCCTATTGATTTAGTGATAACTATGCACATAATTTTATCTTGCTCCATGGCATTTTTATAACATCATTCAGCGTAAATGTCCTGTTACTGTTGATGTCATATAATAAACACATTAATCAACCATTCTATTAATAACTATTCCTCATTCTTCAAAACTGCATTTTAGTCAAACACACCTTTTTTGAAAGTAAATATATTTCATTAAATGTTTTCATTTTATGAAAAGTAATATATTTCATTAAAAATTTAATCTCAATTTTTTTCAGATATATTCAGTAAAAATATACTTTGGATCAGATTGAATATTAAATGATATATATACACACATATACACATTAACAATTTAAAGAAGAAAAATTAGGGAGTGCTCTGAAATTCAGTGTAGTGATACACTTCTCAAGTCCTATGCAGCATATGATTTTTATTGTAGGAAACAGTCACTATGTGATTTATTAATTAATGAAATAGCTTAATTAGAAGCACAATAGCAAATCCAGGCAACATAAATTACATCCTAGCTAATGAGAGGAGTGATACGTGTACTAGAGCCTCAGAGGAGAGAAAAAGATTATTAAATTGACCTGCTGGAACTCTGGCATATTCAAATAATAATTAGTAAAATACTTGTGACATGATTTGCATTTTATTATTGGGAGAGGGGCATGAAATAATATTTGGTTTATGCCTTTTAAAAATTATTCTTAAAATGATATTCTAATCTGATAATTAGATCTTTTACATATAGTGATTATTTTAAAATATGGAAGCACTGTTTTCATTGTCTTAAATTGTTAGTAAAGAGGTAGCCTACATTTTGTTATAAAATGTAAAGAGAAGATGAAAATGGACTTTTCTTCCAGTTTTACAGTTGTTCTCTTCCGTTGATCCCCACTGGCTGTTCTTTCATTTCAACCTCTTAGTTCTTTCTTAAAAGAAAACCATGTCTTTTTCCCCGTAGTCCAGAGGTAGACATAGCTGAACAGAAAGCTTAGACATTCCCATTTAGTGCACTTGCTTCTTTGTGAGATTAATTGGTTTCTCTTTCTCTTTCCCTCTTCTCCAGTGTGGATTCTTCAAACGCTCTAGGTACGATGACAGTGTTCCCCGATACCATGCTGTAAGGATCCGGAAAGAAGAGCGAGAGATCAAAGATGAAAAGTATATTGATAACCTTGAAAAAAAACAGTGGATCACAAAGTGGAACGAAAATGAAAGCTACTCATAGTGGGGGGCCTAAAAAAAAAAAAGCTTCACAGTACCCAAACTGCTTTTTCCAACTCAGAAATTCAATTTGGATTTAAAAGCCTGCTCAATCCCTGAGGACTGATTTCAGAGTGACTACACACAGTACGAACCTACAGTTTTAACTGTGGATATTGTTACGTAGCCTAAGGCTCCTGTTTTGCACAGCCAAATTTACAACTGTTGAAATGGATTTTTCTTTAACTGCCTTAATTTAACTTTCTGGGTTGCCTTTGTTTTTGGCATGGCTGACTTACATGTGTTGGGGAAGGGCCTGCCTAGTTGCATTCGGGTGACATCCTCCCGATAGTGCAGGTGAGTGTAGGTGCCTCCTCAGCTACACTAACAGAGTGGCCGTCCTAACCTCGGGACTGCTGCGCAGACATCCATCACGTTAGCTGTCACACATCACAAGACTATGCCATTGGGGTAGTTGTGTTTCAATGGAAAGTGCTGTCTTAAACTAAATGTGCAATAGAAGGTGATGTTGCCATCCTGCCATCTTTTCCCATTTCCTAGCTGTGTGAATACCTGCTCACGTCAAATGCATACAGGTTTCATTCTCCCGTTCACTAAAACACACAGGTGCAACAGACTTGAATGCTAGTTATACTTATTTGTATGTGGTATTTATTTTTTCTTTACAAACCATTTTGTTATTGACTAACAGGCCAAAGAGTCTCCAGTTTACCCTTCAGGTTGGTTTAATCAATCAGCATTAGAGTATGGGAGGTCATCACGTTGACCTAAATTATTTACTACAAAAAGAAAATCTTTATAAATGTACTAGAGTTGTTTTAATAACTTATCTATAAATTATAACCTCTCCTTCATGACAACCTCCACCCCACAACCCAAAAGGTTTAAGAAACAGAATTATAACTGTAAAGATGTTTAATTATTTCAGGCATTGGATATTTTTTAGTTTAGAAGCCTGCGTAATGTTTCTGGATTTCATATTGTAACATTCAGGAATTCTTGGAGAAAATGGGTTTATTCACTGAACTCTAGTGCAGTACTGCTGCAAATACTGTATGTTCAGGACTTGAAAGAAATGGTGAATGCCTATGGTGGATCCAAACCGATCCAGTATAAGACTACTGAATCTGCTACCAAAACAGTGATTCCAGTCAGAGCATCGTGGCTTTTACATTGTTAAATGTTATTGGAACCATTTAATCAGTGAGTCGATATTCCATTTTTTATTTTGTTTCCTCCCCTATCTGTAATCCCAAAATTACTTTGGGACTAATTTAACCAGAACTTTGAATTGTGTTTTTAATTGTAAAAATGGCAGGGAGTGGAATTATCACTCTATACATTCAATAGAGATTGAATTGAATAGATATGAAACCTGATTTTTTTTTAATTACCATGCTTCACAATGTTAAGTTATATGGAGAGCAACGGCAAACAGGTGCTAATTTGTTTTGGATATAGTATAAACAGTGTCTGTCTTTTGAAAGAACAGAACACAGTTGTAGTGCCACTGTTTTGGGGGGCTTTTTTCTTTTCAGAAATCTTAAACCTTAAGAAACTAAGGACGTTGTTTTGGTTATACTTTGGAATTCTTATTCACAAAATATATTTTGTTTACAAAAATGTCTGTAAATAAAGTCTGTTTCTTGCTTGGGGAACTTGTGTCCCTAATGTGTTTAGATTGCTAAGGAGCTGATATTTTGACAGTTTTTAGACCTGTGTTATTTAAAAAAAAAAAAGTCCCAAAAAGGGTGTTGGGAGGGTGGTTCAACAAAGAAACAAAGATGTTACGGTGTTCAAATTTATAGTTGTTAAAAATGTCATCTCAAGTCAAGTCACTGGTCTGTTTGCATTTGATACATTTTTATACTAACTAGCATTGTAAAATTATTTCATGATTAGAAATTACCTGTGGATATTTGTATAAAAGTGTGAAATAAATTTTTTATAAAAGTGTTCATTGTTTCATAACAAGCATTGTATATGTGAAGCAAACTCTAAAATTATAAATGACAACCTGAATTGTCTATTTCATCAAACCAAAGTTCAGTGTTTTTATTTTTGGTGTCTCATGTAATCTCAGATCAGCCAAAGATATTAATGCCAAAGCAATGGGACTGAGGGTTTTTTCTTTTCACTGTTTAGTTGATCCTCAAGTCTTTAATTTTCCTTACGATTAAAAGAAACCTACAGGTATTTAACAACCTACAAATTGGGAGTTGTCTTTGGATTGAATGTTCCACTTCACTGCCTGTCCTTGTAAGGATAGGGAATTACTTAGCAATGATAAAGTTCTGATGGCTAAGCTGCTTCCTCCTTAGAACACGTTTTGGATGTGGGAGCAGGCTAGCTGTGACATGTCATATTAATCACCAGGACTGGTTTGGCAGAATCAACTAGTCAGAAAATATTTTCTTTAGCAAAAGATCTTAGATTTGCGTTTTATGAAACTTCTCTAGCTGGATTATCACAACCTAATACAAGAAAATAATATATATATATGTGTATATATATGTGTGTGTGTGTGTATATATATATAATGCCTAGACAATATAGCATGTCCTGGCCTGAATAAATGTCCAAGATATTAGGTAATAGCTTTCTACTATACTTGGCATTACATAAAATTTTGGCCCTCTTGTTTCTTTGAAGATTAAACAAGTGTTACCACCCAAAGAAACGTGATTGGCACTTCTTAATGATTTGGGCCGGTGGCTGTGAACCTTTTTAGCCTCAGTTCACATATTGGATATACCCAGATTAAATCACTACAATAATATGTAATCATCATAACCTCATAGAGCCTATCAGTAGCTGTGGTTTGACTAGGGCTATGGCATAAATGACAGACTGTAAGTCACGGCCCATCCAGTCATAGTACCTGTGATTCCAGCACTTCCCCTCCCTCTCAAAAAATACAGGAACGTCTACCAGCAATTGTATTATTACAGGGTTATCCTTGGATCTATTTGGATTCACAGAGGAATCATTGCAAACACTGATACTTCATTATTGATTGCAAATTAGTTGCTGCAAATTCAGTGTGTCATGCATAGTTACGGTTTATGCTTTTCCCTGGTGGCTGAGAATATTCTAGCATGTGGTGTTGACATACATGGGGAATGCTTTAAAGATTGTCCAGACTGCCAGCTGTGGTGGCTCATGCCTGTAATCCCAGCACTTTGGGAGGCTGAGGTTCCTTGAGACCACAAGTTAAGACCAGCTTGGACAACATGGCAAGACCCCCATCTCTACAAGAAATTTAAAAATTAGCCGGGTATGGTGGTGTGCACCTGTAGTCCTTGCTACTTGGGAGGCTGTGGTGGGAAGATCACTTGAGCCTAGGAGTTTGAGGCTGCAGTGAGCTATGATTGTGCCACTGCACTCTGGCCTGGGCAACAGAATGAGAACCTATCTCTAAAAAAATTGTCCAAACCAGGGAAGTAAGAATAAGATCAAGCCTTCTACTCTAAATGAAAACATCTTAATGAGAAACTGGTCTCTAGTACACTATCCCACAAAAGGACAATGTGGGAAGACAAACTGGGATTGAAAGACTTGTTTTCAAGGAGGGAGAGAGATGGTCAGTGGTTGGGTTCCACATAAGTACATCCACAGGGCTGCGAAAACAGAAATGTGGAAGAGTTGTTTATCAACTTGGGTAGCATAAAGTAAGTGATTACAGGCAGTTCCTCAAGACCAAAGGACAGGGTCCCACCACTTGGAATGAGGAAAAGGTGAGGGTCAAAGAGGTGAAGAAAATTAACTTCAGAATGATTTCAAAAGAGTGGTTATTGCATGCTAGTGGGCATCTGTTCTTCCCGTAGTTTCTGATTACAGTTAGTAGCCAATAAGTGCTTTTTCTCTCCTGTACCTTAAACCGGTTTTGCCAGCTCCAAAAGGCATCTCATCCAGCTGTTGGAAGGTGGGAGAGCTGTACACTAGGAGCTGAGGCCAGGTCTATGGAGGTGCTACCAACAGACCTCATCTAGGAGAAAAATCATGACGGGATTCATAGCCAAATCCTCTTGACTCAGGGTAAATGAACTGTAAAACACAAGCCAGAGGAAGGAAACTGATGTGGTCCAGTGCAAGGGTGGACCAGACACCACAAAGGGCAAAACTAACCAGTAATGGTTGATGATTACACCGGAGTTGAGGGAATCAAGTGGTCAAGTGCAATTTTTGTAGCAGTCAGCAAAGTGTAAGTGCCTCAATCTTCTCTTCCCCTGTAGCCATCTCCCAGTTATGCTGCCTGTGCTGGGGTCATGGAAACAGTTCCACGCTAGGAGAGGTCAGATAAATTTCTTACTCTTCAGCCTTCTAGAACATGTGCCAAAAATCTCAAGAAACTACAGGGTCAGAATGTGCTACCTTTGTTATCTCAAAAACCAGCAATTAAGTTTTCAGTTCAACAACCAGTAAGTGGATTTAAGTGAGTGTTCTGTTAAGATTCTGTCATTGTGAGAGGGATGTGATTTAATCATTATTTTCCAGTTGGAAGTAAACAGATGTTTACGGATGTTAAATTACGCTCTGGGGATATACATAAGACACTGGCTCTGACCTTTTATAGGAAGCTTATAATCTAAAACTACAGATGGTATTGACAAGCATAAGTGAATTCACTTTTTATAGGTAGCAGAATTTAAAACCTTGAGTTAATATATCAATGATTGACACATAAATTCAATACCTGGCCGGGCGTGGTGGCTCATGCCTGTAATCCTAGCAATTTGGGAGGCCAAGGCAGGCAGATCACATGAGGTCAGGAGTTCAAGACCAGCCTGACTGACATCGTGAAACCTGTTTCTACTAAATACAAAAAATTAGCCGGGTGTGGTGGTGGCACATGCCTCTAATCCCAGCTACTTGGGACCCTGAGGCAGGACAATCACTTGAACTGGGAGGCAGAGGTTGCAGTGAGCCAAGATTGTGCCACTGCACTCCAGCCTGGGCAACAAGAGCAAAACTCTGTCTCAAAAAAAGAGAAAAAGTCAATACCTGACGCTTTGTGGGTGGAACTTGCCCCTAGAACAACCCCATTCCCAGAAAATTTAGAGTCTTTCTCAACCAGGTCTACACATTTAAATCACCAAAGAAATACATATTTCTTAAAATCCTGATGGCTAGACAATCTGCCACACTGAGTACATGAGAATCTGAGTGCAAGACCCAGGAATTAGCACTGCTTAAAGCTCCCCAGCTGACCTGTAAAGTGCAGTCAGGATTGAGAACTGCTTTAGAGATTATTGGATGTTGTGAATATTTATCAAAATAATATGCTCACTGTGTGAAATGCCTCATTCCTGTTTGTGGTACTTCCACTGCACCAGTAACAGGAGCTGAGAAGCTAGAGATGAATTTGCTATAGGCAGGGAGGCAGCTGAGCAGTGCATAAGGGCATGGCTCTGGAGCCATGTTGCAGGTGTGAATTAGCTTCACCTCTTAGAACATAACCTTGGGTAGGTTACTGATATCTCTGTGCCCAGTTTCTCGGCCTATGAAATAAGATTGGTTACGGTACTCAGAGGTTCTTTTTTTTTGAAATGGAATTTTACTCTTGTTGCCCAGACTGGAGTGCAATGGCGTGATCTTGGCTCAGTGTAACCTCTGCCTTCTGGGTTCAAGTGATTCTCCTGTATCAGCCTCCCGAATAAGTGGGATTATAGGCGCCTGCCACCATGTGTGGCTAATTTTTTGTGTTTTTCGTAGAGATGGGGTTTTGCCACGTTGGCCAGGCTGGTCTCAAACTCCTGACCTCAGGTGATCCACCCCTGTTTGGTATCCCAAAGTGCTGGGATTACAGGTGTGAGCCACTGCACCCAGCCCAGAGGTTCTTGTAAAGAGGAAATTGGACCATCTGGAAGTGCTTATTAAATGTTAGTTACTTTTATATTTACCCCTGTTTATTATATAGAACTATAAAATGTTAAAATGGGAAGGAAGCATAGAAATCTAGTTTTACTTCCTCATTTCACAGATGGGGAGATAGTTTATTTTTATTGTCACAGGAACCTTTTGTCTCCTCATTCTTCAGTGTCTACCAACTTAAGTCTTATTAGTGGGTGTTAAAACTACAAAAAAAAAAAAAAGGTGAACTAACTCTTTAAAGTCCTTACTAACATAGATCATTTTGAATGACAAGAGTGACCTTATTTCTATGTTAAATTCTGTTTCTGCCCTTAATACAGTGACCATAATGCTGTCTTTGGTTGGGGTCAGAAAGACGACATGTTAAGATAATGAAAAAAGCATCTTGAAATTGCTAGGTACTGATTCTTTGTGTTGTTTTCTCCCCAACATGAAAGAGTGTGAAAAGACAGATTCTCTCTATGAACCTTTTCTCAGAGTTCTTTATACACCATTGATTTCTTTGGTTTCCTTTAGTGGGAAGGCAAGCCGCAGTTTTATTCCTTATTACCTTTACTGCTGTGCAGAAGAGGAAATGCTCACAGAGCTCATCTTGCACCTCAGTTACACCAGGTGTGTTAAGACCAGAATTCGTTACTCGAAGAACAGATTTGAAAACTCCTGCCTCCCACATGTCACAATAATGCATGGACTGAAAGACTACGTAAAGGCAAAAAACATATATATACATGCATTCTTCCCTAGGAAGACTGGGGGACTACCTGATGCCAAGATGTCCTCAAATTGCTGATGGAACTGAAGTTCTGGGGTTCCTACCTAACTGAGGAAGTCACTGGTGGTCAGGAAATCTCAATTAGAGAAGTTAAGTGCAGTCTTTCTCAAAATTTAACATGCCTAAGACTCACCTGAAGATCTTGTTAAGATTCAGGTTCTGATTTAAACAGTCTGGGAAAGAGCCTGAGCGTCTACATTTCTAACAAGCTCCAGGTGCTACAATACTACTGATCTATGGATTACTCTTTGGGTATCAAGGGTCTCTACAGTCAGTCTTTATTCAAGTCCCTACTGTGTCACTTTTTACTGTATGACCTGGGCAAGTTTAAATGCCTGATGCTTTAATTCCTTCACCTGTAAAATGGTATAAGTAAGATTATAACCTAGGCTG